AAACTAGAATTCGAGAAAATTCCTGCATTTATGGGTGTTCGACATACTGTCGTTCCCCAAAAAGATATTCCTATAATTTCAAAAGAAATTTCTTCTTTAATAGAAAAAGATGCTGTAGAAATGGTTCCATTAAATCAACAAAATCAAGGTTTCTACAGTACATTATTTCTTGTCCCCAAGAAAAATGGGGAGTTAAGACCTGTTATAAATCTGAGACCTCTGAACAGGTATCTGGTCAAGAAACATTTCAAAATGGACACATTATCGAAAATAATAAATCTAGTAAAGCCAAACGATTGGGCATTTTCAATAGATCTCAGCGACGCATACATGCATATCCCCAATTTTCCCAAAACATCGCAAGTATCTAAGGTTTGCATTTCAAGGGAAATGCTATCAGTGGAAAGTAATGTGTTTCGGCCCTACTGTAGCACCAAGAGTGTTTACGAAAATTGTGTCAGTAGTTGCAGCTCACTTAAGAACACAAAACATACGTCTAGCAGTATACCTAGACGACTGGTTATGTTAAAATCAAATACATCAGCATTTACTCAAAGATCAGTATGTTTGCCTCAATCTCCTCATAAAACTAGGATTTTTGGTGAATCTAGAAAAGTCAAATTTGATACCTCAACAGATAATAACATACATTGGGGCAGTATTCAATCTGAAATTGGGTCTTATTCTTCCAACAGAAGAGAGGTTTTTGAAAATTCAGAACGCCATCTTAGACTTAGTCAATGGGCAAGAACAAAGCTCAAAATTTCCTTCATTTATTAGGTCTCATGGCTTCTTGCTTGGAACTTATTCCAAATGCTCGACTTTTCATGAGACCTATTCAATTACATCTGCTCAGTTTTTTGGAAACCTTCAAGTCATTCATTGGACATGATCATTCCATTTACTCAACATCTTCAATCACATCTAAGATGGTGGTTAAATCCAGCCAACATTTTCAAGGGTCGCTCATTACATCAGACTTTATCAGAAGTAATAATTAACCCACCGATGCCTCCAAGAAAATGTATGGAGGGCATCTAGGGAACCAATATTTTCAGGGAACATGGTCATTAGATCAAATCATTTGGCACATAAATTCTCTAGAAATGGAAGCTGTCTTTTTAACAGTAAGCCATTTTCTAAGTCAGATTCAGGGAAATCAGTGTTGATCAAAACAGACAACACGACTGTTGTACAATACATAAACAAACAAGGGGGAACAAAATCAGCAAACTTTGCATTCAGACTTGGAAATTATGGACATTAGCTATTCAAAATAACATTTCATTGAGGGCAGTTCACATAGTCGGAACACAGAACATTTTAGCAGATCAATTGAGCAGACACAAAATAAGGGCAACAGAATGGTCCCTGAATCCATTGGTTGTTCAGAAAATTTTTCAATTATGGGATACTCCTCTAATAGACCTATTTGCATCAGTAGACAATCATCAGACTCCAATTTTTTTGCTCCTGGTTTCCGACCAATCGAGCGTTTGCGATAGATGCTCTGAGTATTTCATGGGAGAACATGTATGCGTATGCTTATCCGCCTCTATGCCTGATACCGAGAATACTGACATATATATACAGCAGTTCCAATTGTCAAATATATACTCATAGCGCCTCAATGGCAAAGGAGACATTGGTATCCGGAAATTCTGAACTTGTTAGTAGCATGTCCCCTAAGACTACCTGTAATTCCAGATCTACTAGTTCAACCAAAAACTCTGATAAAACATCCGAATCCGGAAATTTTTCATTTAACAGCTTGGCTGTTATCGACAGACAATACGAAAAGACTGGATTTTCTAAAAACACTAGAAAATTGCTCAAAGCAGCCTGGAGATCAGGTACTCAAAGGGACTATGGTAGCAAGTTTCAGAGTATTCAATATAGCTGGTGTCGTACAAGGAATATTGATCCCTATTCTTCATCTCTGATTAATAGATCACAATTTCTTACAGACATGTTTCATAAAGGTTTACAGTATAGAACAATAAGTGGTTACAGGTCTATGTTATCAGCTATTCATCCCCCTATTGATGGTCATCAAAGTAGGTCAACACCCTTATATAATTCAACTACTTAAGGGAGTTTTTAATTCTAGACCGCCTACAGTCAGATTGATTCCTGAATGGGATTTGCTGAAAGTGTTAAAAGCTTTACAAAAAGCACCTTTTGAACCTTTACATAAAGCTCCGTTGAAGGTTTTAAACATACAAAACTGTATTTTTTATTTGCAATAACTACTTTCAGGAGATGTAGTGACTTGCAGTCTCTGAAGTTAGGAAAAGGTTCAGTAAATATTCAACAGAAAGGTATCACCTTTATTCGTCATGGTTTTAGCTAAACAGGACAGACCATCACATTTCGGAGCAACTATTTTCATACCATCTTTTCCAGAAAATAAGAAATTGGATCCTAAAAGGTGTTTATTTTATTATTTGAAATCATCTGAAAAATATAGAAAGTCTGGGACTGGTGAAGATGAAACAAAACTTTTCCTTGGGTTAAATGAGCCACATATAGAGGATATTTGTTTGTTTTGCATGTAAGATTGAAATATAATTTCACTGAGTGAACACCAGATGCAATATTTTCACGAGTGGCGTAGCCACGAGTGAAAATATAATAGCTGGTGTTCACGAATGAAATATATTTCAATCTTATATGTAAAACAAATAAATTTTCTTTTTATTTCATGCTTTTTAAGTGATTTTAAGTATTTTTCACTGATTTTGCCGCGTAACGTCGCGCATTCTCCTTTGTGACGTCATCACATCATGACGTCACATCATCAATTTTGAAATATAGTTCTGTTAAATTTCTCTAATTTTGTTACATTTTTAACATGATGTATGGTGACATCGACTTTCTTTTCCTAAAGAATCACAATTTACGTATGACGGCATTTATTTCTGCCTGTTATTCCATTTAGTTATGATTTTCTTTTCATCTGCATTCGGATATAGTCCGGCTACAGTGAAAATTATATTTTATAAATTTCACTAGTGGTTTATCAGAATATAATCATCTAATATATTACAATAAAACACTGGAAAGCATGAAATAAGAACCAGTTAGTTCTCAAACGTTATCAAACTGGATTGTTCAGACATTAAAGTTAACACTTCAAGATGATAAGGTTAAAGTTAAAGCTCATAGTACCAGAGCTATTGGTCCATCTTTTGCATTGTTCAAGGGTGCATCAATTGAATCAATTTTAGCTTCAGCAGACTGGAGTAGAGAGACTACTTTTACACGTTTTTATCTAAGAAATGTAAATAGTACTTCAACAGTGTTGAAAACTTGAAATAAGTTTTTTGAACTAAAATTAAATTTTAACTTTTAGCGAGTCGCTATATCAACTTATTGAGGGATTTTTCATATTTTATGGCACTCGATAAGTGCATTGGAATATACATATATTGTGTACATTAGTGAAGATAGTGTTTCTGGAGAATATAGTGGACATAGTGTTATACAAGTGGAAACAGTATTGACAGTGTTGTTCTGTACATTTATACAAAGAGGAAACAGATATTTCTGTACATAGTGAGAATAAAGAATGGTTTTTTCATGTACATAATTGGGGAACAGATACATATTTGTTGCATAAAGATTTTTGTCAGTAGATATTACCCTACACCACCATCAGAGGTGAGTATTGCTTTGAAATCAATCCTTACATGTATATTTATGACTGGTAAGTTTAACGAGTGAAATAAAATTGAAAAATTTGTAATCAAGTTAAAATTTTATGAATAAGTTAAACTTACCAGTCATACTAGTTTCCCACCACCACGCCTTGGTAATATTCGGATGGTGTAATTGTTTTCACTTAATCAGTAAAACTGAGGGGCGCATGCTTTTACCGGTCCTATGGACGCTTGCTTTTTAGTTTACGCATGCGCCTCGGCGAGTCCGATTGTAAACAAAGGGAAGTAAATCCTACATGTATATTTATGACTGGTAAGTTTAACTTATTCATAAAATTTTAACTTGATTACAAATTTTTCAATTTTTACGGAGTCGCAAAAGCGGCACGGTTAGTGATAAACCTATTTATTCTATATTCACAAAAATGTAGCTGTTAATGCTTTTGACTAAAATAAATACGTTACAATGAAAAATAAATAGGTCATAAGACTTAAAAACAACAAATAACAACACAGAATAACAGCAAATTTAATTAACTACATGTAAGTAATTTACTCATAGGCCTTAATGTTTATTAAACAACCTTTCTAAAATGAAATGGTTTTTTTTGTGTTGTTGTTTTTTCTCCCATTTTTTTCTTCCTCAAGATTCATATCCCTTTATATAAACGTATCCTTATTGTTATCAGTCCTTAATGTAATAAGATGGTTATATCTATATACAGTAATGAAAAATGAGTACAATAAGTTGGCAACATAAGTACAATCCCTGTTTACATTCAAACGTGCAACTTACATTTATTATACAATATCGACAGTGTTATTGAATAAATGATATGTTTACCATTGCAAAGTTGAACATGTTATTTGATATGAGACATAAAAATTCCATATATATCTATACATTAGTAGAATGGAAACTTTAAAATGTCGGTGGCTCAGCTAGTTCTATAGCATGTATGCTACCGTCAAATCATCTTTACACATAAATATATAACAATCAAATATTTAAAAAACATTCGTAGACGTGTTACTTCAGCAGTAATTATAGATTTGTGAAAGGAAAAACAAAAATCCACAAGAAAAGCGACTGATGATTCCCGTGTTCCGGAAACGAGAAAAAAACTAGCCGGAGCATAACGCAAATTTAAGATTCTGAAGCTGCCGTATCACAGAGAGTAAAATGATTCAAAAAGCAGACAAAACAAAACAATGTGCGATTAAACAACCTTCATATACATTCAAAATACACTACATAAAAAATGGGTGATCATGAAAGAACCAAAATAAATGCTCGGGTAAATTACCTTAGAATATTACAGCAAGATTGAGTTGGTATACTGTTCACTTATTTAAGTGATAAGTTTAAATAATAATCTTTGTATATATAGCATGATGTCTTTTTTCTTGATCATCTTTAAAGACGCAATCATCTGGTTCATGTAATCCTTTCAAGTTTTGACTTCAATGCAATGGCAAATTAAATATTATGGCATCTTTTGGCATGTTTCATTTACAAAGTGCTTTCGAGAAACATTCAGAAAAGGGTTTATGCTAACTGACTTGTAATATACTACAGAAATAACCTTCTTAGATGTGCATTTTTGTATTCGGTTTACTTGTTATGCTTCTTTCCACGTCGTGTAGTTTTCTGGTGGCAAATCACATGCTGGAACTCTTTTGCTTTTTCCCTAGTTATATCTGGTACCCTCTCATTTGTCGACAGAAATTCAAGCTTTTTACTCATATAACCCTGAATTTTCAATTTCCCCGACATAAAATTTTCATAATCCTCGCAGAGTACAAAATATGTTACTTTCCAATGTAAATCTACGATGACAGGATCGTACATATTACGTATGACGTCAAGCCTATCGAGAACTATTTTCTCTTGCTCTGTAAGCTCATCAACACAAGTATCTAAATCATATTTGTGAGGAAGCCGTTCTAACACAGAATCTTCATTTATTTTTCTGACTTCTTTCGCTTTGCGTTGGACGTTTTCAGGGACTCTAACATCGTGTATGAAGCGTATTAACTTTTGGATATTCTGTACTTCAAATTCCGGATCAGATGCCAATCTCTCAAGGTCTTCATCAAGGTGATCCTCTATCACTTTCCAATGTAGTTTATTGACAGTCTCTGTATATTCAATATCATCATAAAGTGGTCTTAGGTTTTGGAGAAATTTAATTTCTGCTCTGGAAATGTGAGTAAGCGGTGTATTTATGTCATACTTTCTTTCGATGTCATCAACTGTAATCTGTTGTACTGTTTTCTTTAGTCTTGAAGCGTGTTTTTTTAAAGCTTTTGTTCCCGCGGATTCAATGTCCTTCAGTTTTTGCATCACATGTGGTTTTAAATAGAATGTCTCAGCATCTCTCAGCTTTTCTTCAAGATCTTGCAGGAAATGATCTAAAGATTCTAGTTTCAAATTTCGTATAATCTCGGGATAGTTAGCAGATTTGATTTCGTTTAGGGTAGTATAAAGTAATGCTCTTTTCTGAAGAAGAAAAAAAAACAACTATGTAATAACTAATACCGTTTGTTTGTGTGTGTGTGTGTGTGTGTGCGCGCGCCGTTGCGTGCGTGCGTGACTCGTGTGTTGTGGGACGGATCCATGTGTGTGGTGCACGTGGTTGTTGCTGCCGTCTCCGTGTTTGCCGCCGCGCGCGGATTGAGTGTTTTAATAAAAGTGAAAGTCATATTGTTTTACGTTTTAATATTTAACAGACAACAAACAAAAATTAAAAAGGGACATCAGTTGAGCATCACGACAAAATGATTCAGGCTCTTTAATCCAGTCTATCTGCATGATAATCATGATGTAAAACTTTATTCACTGGTAATTTTGTATGTTAATGACGTCGTTATTTTATCATAAATCGGAGCAAGAATTGAAAACACATAACATACTTCGTCACTGGTAAGGTCATCCAAAACCGTCCCTTCTTCATACTGTTCACATATGGTACTTATGATGTCTCTCTTTATTTCAGAGAATCTATTTTGGCGTCTTTCTTTGTTCACTTCATCAATTTCGAATTCTATTTCTTCTTGTAATCTTTCAGAGAACGTTGCCATAAGCTCATTTTCCTCCAGGTACCTATCAAATGATACCAAATATATGATAATGGGTACAATAGCAGTAAAATATGTATCATACGTATTTTTCAAAGCAAGGGATTCTTTTTAACATAAGGACAATTAGAATACAGTATACCTTTTTTGATGAACATACACATCTATCAAAAGAGAAGAAACGTCATTTGATGCATAGTCAATCATGTTTTGTGTCAATGGTCTTGTAGCCCAAAATTTGGCATTCTTCTTCAGAAATTCAAGCTGTAAAATTTAAATTGATGGAGTAAAATAAACTTAAGGATTTTATCAAAGCAATTATAGCGAAAAATATATCTTTTAAGTTCAACTTAACGATAAAAATTTTGAGTTATTGTCCTTATCCATTCGTCGATGAAGGCGTTGGTTTTTCGTTTATGGTCATTAACTTCAATATAACAACAATAGTACACTGAACTTCGTTGGTGGAAACATCTTGCCAAACCTATTGTTTAGGTTAAAAGGTCAAGATCTATCAGCAAAATGCATAGGCAAAGTCATTTCAGATTTTGATTACGATGCTCATTGATGGATTCTACCTGCCATACCTATTTTCAAGTCTTAAGGTTATAGGTGAAGGTCACTAGATCAATAGGATCTGTAAAACAAAATTAAACTGGCCATTTCATCAAAGTGCATTGATGTAAGATCTGTGATGTAGGTTGTGCCTTGGTGAATATTACCTATCACAGTAATTTCCATGTCAAAAGGTCAATGTTAAAGATCACTAAGAACTGTAATAACAAAACATTAAAGTAAAAAGGTCTACAATAGGCCCATTTTTCATAAATTTTTCAAATATTGAAGAAAGCACAATAGAAATGTATCATTTCGATATCGTTAAAAATGTTGCTTGAAAAAAGTAATTTAGATTGAATATTTATATAATGATTTATAATATTTTGTTTTAGAACATTTTATTATCTGCTGTATAACTATACATGTATGTAATATCGGATCATGTATCTCGCTATTTCAACTCCAATGTAAATAAATTTCGTGGCTTATTGTTATGTTATACTAAATACTATCAAACTGTATTACTGACTTTCATTTTTAGATCAATTCACTTACTCACTTCACTGAAGTGTATTTACCTGAAGTGTATGTTAATGAACATTGACGAAATTTTACCGGCCACACCGAGGCCAAATAATATTTTTGCAAATACACATATTAGATAAACAAGCATACTGTGATCTTGCAATTCGTTCAGGTGTAAATTATAAATGTAATAATTAAAAAAAGAAGAAAAATTGAAGCGTAAATTCTGTTGAATCTTATTACACAGAGCACATCCTGTACCGCAGGAAAGTGCAAATAATACAAATTAACGTAACGCCGAATATGTGCAATGCTATTGCCAAAACAAGATACACAGTAAGTATCGAAATATTTTATCTTGAGTTAGATTAAAGGAAATAAAGAAGCGCAAACGGCTGCTATGACATTATAATTAATACTAGCATTACAAACATTTTAAAAGAATATGTTTACTTCTTTAGATAATTCGAGTGAATGAAGAGCACCCTACCGTTTTTAAGGCGAAGAAAAAAATTAATACATAAAAATTATACGCATTTAAAACTTTATTTTCTTCATATTCAGTATAATACCTTAGACATTTACCAAACTACTAGTGACATATAACACAAGAAGGGAGCATGACAAATAAGATGCATTTACTTTGAATGAGGTAACCAACATTGTTTCGTACACCATTCACGAATTTGGCGTTGCCTCGTAAAAATGGTATCAGTCATATTTTATCGGCTTATTTAAATGTAATATGACACAAGTAGTTTGGCAAATGTCTCACGGAATATCCAAAACTATATAGTAATCTATATATTGCATATTTAAAGATATCGACGAAACATAAGTCATGATCAATATGCTAGTCAGGTCGTCATTCTTGAATAATTGACATAATCATGGAAACATGATATTTAAAACATAATTTTTCAGCAACCGTATGCGCTAATTCATTTCATTCAATATGACGTGCACACAGTTCAATTACTCTCCGAAGTGCTTGTTTCGGCTACAGAATTGCACAAATCTGCGTTAACTGCGCGCAATTCATTGCGCTATTTGGACATTCTAATTATTTCCTTTGCAAACACACTATAACTAAACGAACATAATAACGAATCGTTCCGTTTATGAAAGGAATGACATTTTTAGTGAGGTTTCAATTTCGGAACTCTTATAACTGCGTAACAATAAACAATATTTAAGTGTGTGATACGCTCACTACAAACTTTCATTTGCTTCAGAATATGGGAAGCAACTAAAGCGACTTGCCGCAATAAAATATTTGAAAAGCTGACAAAAAAAGAACCTCTGCAAATAAAAAGTAGCAATAAAATATTACTTATAAGACATTTCATTTAATTGTGCAGATTTTGCATTAGAAAGTATCTAATGTAAGTTTTAAACGTTTTGTATATACAAATACTACCTGCACAACATCTTTTTCTGTGTATTCTTTGCTTGCATTCAAGTACGTGCTGAACAATTCTTCTAGCTTTACACGTAAAGGTATTTTACATCCTTTGTGTTCCTCTATTACCAAATGAGCCACCTATATATTATATATAGATATAAATTGAAACAAGTGTATCTTTCATAACAAATTGTTTACGATAGTTCTCTATTTGTGATAATAACCTTTCCAAATATATTCCGTTGCAAAGAAATTATTTCCAAAAAAACTAGATATAATAACTTTAATTTTCATATTATTAATAATGATATAAGGCGGAGAGCCATTGCAGTATATTATTTCTATCGTAACCCCCGGAAATATTTGTTTACAATGACATTTTAGGATGCAAACCTGCGTATCAAAGACGTTTTCCAGCTTTATACCAAACTGGTGAAAAAGAGCAGCACTGTCTCCACCAGACGAATGTAAAACCTGAAGTATAAAAAGACTGTATCGATAGGGGTATGTGTATTAAAAACAAACATTTAAAAGATGTGATGGAATTGAAATACTTTCATAAGACATTATTTCTACTTTTTACACTGGTGCTAGAAAAACTCATCTTACATTCTCCGTACAAGACAAATCGCGCGTTAAAATGAGATAATTCATGTGTGCTTTTTGTGAATTGCCTAGGATTACGGCGTTTTGTCGCCAGAATAAAAAATGTGAATTCATACCCGTCTGTAAGAAAAAAGTGCTAAATGAAAATGAAATTATTTTCGTTTCGAACAATACGCAGTTTATGGTATCTGTTATATCTATGGCAAATATTAATGATTTTACGATAATTCGATTTACTCTGTTGCACATTCCTTTATCATTTTGAACGATTTTCACGTGCGTGTACTGTTTATAAGAGTGTATATGTGTAAAAGCGTCACTCGAGGTCTGTATTTGACAGAATACAATTCGTAAAATGACAGAAGAAAGCAGTTCAGATTTAAAGAGGGCTCTTATTGGAGAAATGCAAGAAATTTTCGACCAGAAGTTTTCAGAATTGAAACACGATTTGAAAGCAGAAGTAGAGTGGACAGCTGAAACTTCAAGAAAGAAGGTCAGAATTAACAATTCAATTTCTTTCTCCATTGCTGGAAATAAGAAGCAATTTGATTTTAACTGTGAAATTTTAGAGCTGTTGGACATTTGTGATAGAGCAGTTAGTAAAAGAGATGCTTCAAAAGCTAAGCAAGTTTTGAAGGAAGCAAGAGAAAAATTAGAGCATAGAAATAAAACTATTCATATTGCTGATAGTTCCTCAGCTGGGTGGGGTACAGTTAATGAGTATGAGTTGTGTGACTTTGCCTCTGATTCGGATGATGATAGGCGTATTAGAAAAGCAGAGGAAAGAGCTATTAATAAGATTGAAAAACGTAAGAAAGCTGTGTTTTCTGATATTTTCAGCCCTTCTGGGCAGTCTTCTTTTCGCAGCTATAGAGGAAATAGCACCCCCTATTCGAGAGGACCCATGGGGCGGCGCTTCGTGCAGTTGGGGGAGGTAGTATGCTATAAATGTGGAGAAATTGGACACCTCGCATCAGGTTGTGCCACCGAATACGGAGTCGCAACATCTAGAATCGGATCTCGTGGTCATGGAGCATTGGGACCAGTCGCCACACCCTCTTCTCAGTTCAGCCCGCAGCAACAACAACAACAACAATTCATTGTGGACAAAGGCATGCAACAACAACAAACAGCAAATTTGAAATCTCTTGCTCAATTTCTGACTTATCTGTTAAAGGAAGATTAAAAAGTTTTCTGCAATATTGGACTGATATTATTCAAGTAGATAGAGATATATTTGTCTGTTATTGAAAATGGTTATGTTATACCATTTTTAGTTAAACCTCCGAGTTATATTATGAAAAATAACAAGTCAGCTATAGATCATTTGGATTTTGTTGAATCAGCTATTATTTATTATTAAAAAAAAACTGTTTGAAATTTCAACGTGCAAATGATGCCAAATCATTTCTTGAATTCTGGAGAAACATATTAAGTTCTCCTTTTCAGAAATCTTTATTTAAAGATTATGTACCGGAAGTGTTAATAATTATATGCTAATGCGTCAGCGGTTGCTGGTGCTGCATATATTGACTATGATGGTTCTGTGGCACACAAAGTATGGTCAGATTATGAACGTTGTCAGAGTTCGACGTATAAGGGACTGTTAGCGATTCAATTTTGTCTGGATAGTTTTATTTCAAAATTTAAAGGTAAAACAGTTCAATGACATACAGATAGTAAGAACTGCGTAAGCACAATAGAAAAAGGAAGTACAGATTTAGTGTTGCATAATTTCGCATTTAAAATGTTTATGTCATGTGCAGAAAATGATCTTTAAATGTTATTTGGATTAACAGGTCGCTGAATAAGACGGCAGATAGTTTAAGTAGCATTATTGTGTAATTATTAACACAAGTGATAGACTTTGGCAAAGACATGGTAGATGGGAAAGTGCGACTGCTAAAGATGGTATTGTGAATGATTCATCGAAAACACATTATCAGTATCTTTAAATTTAGATTTATAATATATGATTGTATTGAAATTTGATGATTTAAAACATTCATAGTGCAAATCTTATTAAATAGTAATCAATTTATTTTAATTTGTTTTATACAAAAATAATACATCACTTTTTATTTTGAGATAAAAGCCAATTTCTTTTATCTTTTATATGCAATTATACTGCAATCTTGCAATTGTGGAGACGATAGTAGTTAGGGTTCGAACCTAGACTCTTACTTTAGAATTTGTGATTACATGCTAACAGTTATTTATGTTATTATTTCTGATTTAGTTTCTATTATGTACAATACTAGAAATTAAGCAATTACATATTTTTAATATTTTTAAGAGATATTTGCTATTATATATATTCAGATGAATATTTTATTACGTTTAAGAGTCTTGTTAATTTATCTAGAAAACTGTTAAAATGAAATCACAAACTTCTATAAAAACAAAGGATAAGGCCAGGGTAGTTAAGTCAGTGAGTGACATTCAGAGGCCAGCATATCTGAATGTAGTCAAAATGACTAAAATATTTGTCAAGATTACTTTTGTAGACTTTTGGTCAGGATGACTGTTGTATAGGCCAGGAAGGCTGAATTTGGTCAGGATGGCCGTTGTATAGGCCAGGATGGCTGAATTTGGTCAGGATGACCGTTGTATAGGCCAGGATGGCTGAAGTTGGTCAGGATGACCGTTGTATAGGCCAGGATGGCTGAATGTTTTTGTTTGGTCAGGATGACCGTTGTATAGGCCAGGATGGCTGGATTTGGTCAGGATGACCGTTGTGTAGGCCAGGATGGCTGAATTTGGTCAGGATGACCGTTGTATAGGCCAGGATGGCTGAAGTTGGTCAGGATGACCGTTGTATAGGCCAGGATGGCTGAATGTTTTTGTTTGGTCAGGATGACCGTTGTATAGGCCAGGATGGCTGAATTTGGTCAGGATGACCGTTGTGTAGGCCAGGATGGCTGAATTTGGTCAGGATGACCGTTGTATAGGCCAGGATGGCTGAATGTTTTTGTTTGGTCAGGATGACCGTTGTATAGGAGCAGGATTGCTGCATTTGGGTTAGGATGACTGGTGTGTGGGCAAGATGACTGAATCTAGTCAAGATGACTGTTGTTAGAGCCATGATGATTGATTCTGGTTGATGATTGGATCTGGTCAAGGTGATTAAAGTTAAGACAAAGAATTTTCATTAAGGCGAGTATAGTTTATTCTGTTTTTCTTTTGTTGGTCTTTAAATTAATGTAGTTATAATTTTTTGAAATTTTAAAATTTAATGGTTGTAATGTTTTGTGATTTTCTTCAATAGTGTTTTCTTTATGGAGTTGTTTTTCTATAATTTTTTTTCTCTCTTTGTTTGCTCGATAATTCTGTCAAATACAACGACCTAAACCTATAATGTTTGTTGTTGTTTTTGTTGTTTAGAAGTATTTGAGAATAGAAAATAATTGATTTACTCACGGTTTAGTGAGTAAATACGTGTATATGTTTTCGTTATTTATTTCCGAAGTATGATATATGTGTAATTTACAAAATCAAACACTGGCCGTCGTCAAAGACGGAAATATTTACACGCAACTCCAGACTGGCCATCCAACGTTATCTGTGATATCGGAAAGGATATGGAGTTAAATGGCGGCACACATAAACAAACCGATACCAATTCATATTTTCCAACTAGCTCTCTTATTTAAAACTAATTTTAAAAAACGAATTAAAGCAGCGCAAGAACACGAAAGAATATAATGATCAATAGTCATGGTTTGTTCATTTTTACGTAATTATGTTAACATTTTATTAAATTATGAATTTTTACAGCAAAGTAAAGAAATAAATATTCAATGTTCATTTCTTCTGTAATGGCGTTGCCTTCAACTTGGTAAAGTTGACAATGTTTCTTTGTCACGTTTTTGGCTCACCATCAAGCAATGTTTTCTGATACCAGAATCTGTCAGAAAAATCTGTTGACTCCTATGCGGTCCATAACCTCTACTTCCAATTCATTGTCATCTACATCTAAGATGATGCCTGGATAAGGCAATCGGTCATACTTAGCAGTGCAGTATCTTCCAATTAAAGATTCATCAACCTCATATACTTACACACAAAACTGTGTCCTGAAATATATGAAATTGTCAAACATCGGTATTCTTGCAAAAAAATATACGTCTGATAAGGGAATTTGCGATTGTTATTTGTGTATCCCAAAATAAATTAAATTACATCGAGCACACAATTTAGTTTGAGTTACACATGCCGTTTCAATATGATTACATTAAAAAATTTTTTTTTACTTAAACATGATTTCATTTTAGGTCAAGGTACGTGCAATTAAAAAAAAATAGCTGATGTTGGTTAAATAACATAGAATGGATTAAGTTTACAGAAAAGATTATACGATATTTTACTTTTTTGCTCACTCAAGAAATTTTTATGCTTTATACTGCCTCTTAATATGCGAATCCGCTTTTGGTTCCCAGTTGTGTAACAGTTCACTTCTTACTCCCTTTGATTCTTGAGTTGTCTTCACGTTCAAAATAGTCTGCAACTTATATTATTTTTATTCATGACCAAAGTTTTTGTTTGATTTGCCTTTTTGTGTTCTGGTTCACTTTCATAGCTAGCACTCTTTGAGCATATTTCCCTAGCATGTATTTTAACGGTATTTTGTTTCTACATAATTTTTATCTGATAACTCATTTTGTCCTTCCTGTTTCTCTTTGAGCCATCTTTCACAATCAAATCTATCTCTCAATTGAAATAGGTCTCTCATTGCTTTTAAGTTTTCTTTTCTTGTACGTTTTCGTTCTTTTTTGTAGAACGTTTGCAGAGTTGTCTGTTGGGCTATGGGGGTCATCAGCTGTTGTTGTATATGTTTAATTATCATAGCATCCTTTTGCTTCTTTGAGTTTTTATTCTTAAGCAAGTTTCGCCTTTTATTTATTAATTGTAGTGACCACGCCTCTTCTTGCACCTCTGGCGTTAATTCTCGTTGTATTTTGCATTCCTTTCTTGGTCCTCATTCTGACGTTTGCGCCAGAGTACAGTCCTTTCACCGCTTGTTAATGCCAGATACGCCATAGCCTAAGTTGAAACAATTTTCTTTTATCTTTGTTATCCAATATTCTGTTATATATGCCACAAATGTGTTTAGAAAAAGGTTCAATATCTTCCTGCCTAAGAACTGTTTTTAAAGTTTGTTCTAATTCTCTAATGAATTTGTCCTAATTGAACAATTTTTTCTTGAGGTCTAAAAGAAAAAAAACAGTAGCATGATTTGTCAAAATACGTGAAATGTTCAGATCAAAATATTTTAAACAAACTTCATACTATTTTATTGATATTTCTTCTGTCACTTGTTCATTTATTATTATAATACGAGTATATGTAATTGCTTTAAACTAGGAAACTTAAGTAATAGCACAAGGTTGTTATATAAAGCTGCGTTTGTGTAATTATGCATATATACCATTAAAACTGACATTTATCATACAATGCTATATTCCATGTCTCAAGGAAAATTAATATTATTTAAAAAATAAACCTATAAAGCCATTACTTTATCGTAATAATATTTTACAAATAATCGCTAATATAAAGTTATTTGTGAGTTGGCATTTTGTCATTGCTAAAACGATATTGTCATTTCCATAACAAAATATATCGTTTCGGTAATGACTGTTTAGGAAATGTCATATTAATCTATTTCGATTGGCAGCCATGTTTGTTTACAATATACTTCACAGATTGTTCTTAAATTATACAAAGTAAATTTATTCATTTTAAACATTTCAACATACATATATATTGTACTTTTATCGAATGGATTCGTTCGTTAATGACGGAGATATTGTGTTTGCTTTATAAATCATTTCCTACCTTTAAAGTGGCTTTCCTCACCTTCCATAACTTCTTTTTAAAATTATTACCGCCAAAAAGCTTTAATCAAGACGACGTCAATCGATTAGCCCGATTTATATTTGAAATGCGGACAATAAATAACGGGTTTCGGTAATGACAAATTTTCGGGACTATAAAATTGTACAAATTTTATGATGAAATAGGGTTTGTAGAACAACTGAAATATATATTTACACTTCTTACACAGATGTTTCGAGGAAAAACGTGTATGCAATATTTTGAAACTGGATAAAAGTAAGCTAAATAAGGTCAAGTATTGGAAGTATTTTTCAATAAATAGGGCTTATTTCAGGTAAAATATGTTCCAATCGGCGTGTTGTGAATGTAATTTCAGTTTAAAACGTTACATTCAAGGCTTGTACAAGAAATGTACCTCCGAAGATGTCGAAAGAGGGCAATAGAAGCAATAAACAATAAAATGATAAATCATGAATGCTTCACACCAAAATCTCTATTTTCAATTGTAATTCTGCAATTCTGCTTCAAAACCGCTGTTCGAATGTTGAACAAAATATGAAACCATGGTTACGGAAAAAAAGTAAATTGTGCGCTTTGAACTGCCCCAACTCGTTTTTAATTGGTTTTGAAATAAGAAATATGAATTAGTATCGATTTGTTTTTGTGAACCGCATCATTTCTGATGTCACGGGTCACGTGGGATGGCCACACTGAGCTCTCGCGTTACTGTTTGCAGACCGTACTTTAGAGCTAGATATTTCGGTCATTACCGGAAGCCAGTGTAACATTCTTACAGTTTTTATTAAAGGGTGCCACATAGTCCTTTTTTTTCTTTCATTTTTATGTCATATTATGTTTTGTGATATACAATGTACATGTATATTAACTAGAATATAACTAAGTTCTCAAATTTCAAACTTTACCTTTAATATTTCAGAACTTTCTAGTAAATCATCAAGCCCAGTATCCTCAAAGAAATGTTTATCTTGTTCTTCCTTATCAAGCATGACATCAAAAAGATAGGCACTCCCATCTTTGGTTCCGATTTGCAGCAGTGTCAGAGGTCCATCTTTACCAAGTTGAATTCCTTCACTGTCAACAGCCAGCACCTCCTGTTGTCTGAATATACTTACAGTCTCGAGACATTCTTCTTTTTCGGAGGGTGAAAATATAGAAACCTTTGGAAATGACGCCATTTTCAGCAACTTTATCTACAAAGATAAATTCTTCTTCTGAAGATGTAATCAACGAAACAGATTAAAAAGGTGAGTTTGTGATCTACATTTAAAGCTTTACTTTTTGTTTTCCGGAATTCCTTTATTTTTACAAATTTTAGGTAATGGTATAGTGGTCCAAAGTATTAAATTACGATTCAAATATAAATCGGATTTATTTCCGCTTTTGAGGAACATACGACTTAAGGTGATTCTGCTTTGTCAGCCATGTTTGTTTTCACAAAGTATGTCCAAAGTGAAAGTAGGCCAAATTCATATAACAACAAAGCTCACATTGTTATATGATGAGCCATTTGCAAGTACACTTCCAGTTCTATGTTTAAAAGACAATTATAAACAAAAATAAAAATGATAACAATAAGAATATTTACCTTGAATGTGCCACATTTCTGAAGACCAAAAACATTTTGTTGCAAAGTTTTATGCACATTTCATGAATGGCAAAATCCTTTTTAAAGTCTGTGTTAGTGCCTACAAAAGCTATTTTTTGCAGCAAATACAAAAATCTTTCAAAACTTAACTCCAAATAAATCCGTATCTTATGTCCTTCTAAGCACATGGCCTCCATTATTTTTTGTAAAAAAGTAGTGCAAGAAAACAATCATCATTTATAGCCTTATGAACTACAATTGAAATGAAAACACAATCAAACTTTAAAATCTAACCTTTTTTATGTGTAACAGTGAAGTGTGTCTGTTTGTCATGCACACAAGTAATAGGTAAATGATGTTTATTTTCATGGTACTACTTTTTTTACACATGTCATGGTGGCCATGTTTTTTCAAGGTCAGATAAACTACTTTCCTAAGATTCATGTTTTTTAAAGTTTTTTGTATTTTATGCAAAAAATAGCTTTTGTAGGCACTAAAACAGACTTTAAAAAGGATTTTGCCATTCATGAAATGTGTATAAAACTTTGCAACAGAATGTTTTTGGTCTTCAGAAATGTGGCACATTCAAGGTAAATATTCTTATTGTTATCATTTTTATTTTTGTTTATAATTGTCTTTAAAACATAGAACTGGAAGTGTACTTGCAAATGGCTCATCATATAACAATGTGAGCTTTGTTGTTATATGAATTTTGGCCTACTTTCACTTTGGACAGACTTTGTGAAAACAAACATGGCTGACAAAGCAGAATCACCTTAATTTTTTACGACCTAATAATCCACATACACTTAACCCTAAGCACAGACTCCCACACCCTACACTCGGTGACGAATGTGTTTGTAAAGAAGAAATTAGTTGCCGAATCTAACCATTCTCTAAATTGACTAAAATAAGGCCACACTAGCTATAGCTAGCATGTTTATGATATACTAGATTTATTACATTAGGTCGGTTAACTTCCGTCTTGAATACAAAGAAGTAGTTCAATACAAATTGTTAGATATCGTGACTCAAATAAAGGTTATACAATTTATAAAATATAAGTTCATAACTAAATCAAATCATTTTAAAATATTTTGAAGTTAAAACCACATATATCGTATTCATATATCAATTTACCATCCTTTGTATAAAAAAGAGAATATTTTAGAGACGCATATGTGCAAAGTTTGTAGATTTAAATAACGTAAAGTGTTAATCTTTTATCAAAGAATGCGTAAAAGACAAAATAACTTGAAAATACATGATTAAATTCCATTGCTTTATATAAAGTCCAACGTTACCTTGGAAATATACCTTAACCTGTTGAACTGCAACATAAACTTGCGCTGTTTTTTTAATTTTGAATTTGCAACACATAGTTACCCAGCTTTTTTTTATTTGAAACTGTCCATTTGTAGTTAAGGAAATTAAGTATCAAAATATATAAACTAAGTCGTCATGTCAGGTAGGACATATGTGAAGCCTAGCCTGATTGTATATTTGTAGCACAAAGACATTACATATTAACTAAAGAAATTATACGAAAAACAAACCTTTACTTTATTTATCATAAAATATATAAATTACCTGATCAGATATTCTAGCAACAGTTTTGTTTTATTTTAAAACAATCCCTGTTTGTCCTTTTCTAAAGCGAAACCGGAAGAGGGTTTATCTAAAATCGATCAATAAAATATGTTGTAATATAAACCGTAAACTTCGCTTACGTCAGATATATCAAGTTTATTGAAATAGTGTAATATATTAATCACAAACAGTTGGTGCGTCACTTGCATATTATACATATTTTCCTTCATAATTCATTATTAAATAAAAGAGACACCCGGTATTATCGACCATAATGTTATCATTGTTATGGAAACAACATAATCACCGGTCTTTAATTGTATATAATTATAAACGTTATGGTGCAAAGTTGTGCAATATGATAGTGCATGTTAAGTATATATGCTAATTTGAAGCCTTCGGTACTAGTTATAAACCTAAAGTGAATACCTTATAATGAGGGATACATACATAACATACGTTTAAAATCTTCTGGCTCTTTACGTAACAGTAGTGGTGTTTCAGTGTACATTAAATCGCACCTGATAACTTTCACGTATATTTATGACAAAAGGTCCGAAAAAAAATGGAATTAAAACCATTTAAAGTTATATTGAAATATTAAATAATATGTATCCAAATGTATATCTATAATTATGTGGCGATTTCAATGCACGTACGAATGATTTGTTAGATTATATTCCACATGATAATTTAGATGTAATATTTAATACAGAAGTTGATTATAATTCAGACTATTTTGAAATTTCTATAAAAATAACAAATATATTGAGAGATATAATTTATTTAGGAAGTCTCTTGTAGAATTATGTTGTATTCATAGTATCCATATTTTAAATGGTCTTTTGTACAATGATGTTGCAGGTAATTTTACTTGTTTAACTTACAATGGAGCAAGTGTTGTTTACTATCCTATTGTCTCGTCTGATATTTTTAACGTTGAAGAGCGTCACGAATCAGATCATTTACCAATTTGTGCAAGAATGACTTTAGAGCGAGGGCAACCATTTATTAGATATAATAAGAAAAATGAAAACTTTAATGAAATACATGTCCACAATTATAGATGGAATGATAGGTATATGGCGGATTTCTTACAATTATTTACCGCGGAGTATAATTCTATACGAGAGAATGTACTTAATGAAATATATCTAAATATAAACAATACAAGTCATCATATCATTAATATTTATAACAAATCATCAGCAAATATGCGCGTAAGATATTTAGCGCGAAATAGTGTAAATAATAATTAACCCTTGTGGGATCGAGAATGTGAAACAACTAAGCAGCTTAAATACGCAGCTCTACGACGATTTTGCTGGACTAATAACATATAAGACTTTCAACAATGTGTAGCGCTCCGAAAACGTTTTGAAAAACGTGCTATAAAAAGTATCTTTACCAAAAGTCTAAGCGCGATCAACTAATTAAGTTACGATCAAACCCCAAAGCCTTTTGGAAACTGTTAAAATCTAGAAATGGTAATATAAATTAACAATCTTCATTGATAGATACGGTACCTTGGTTTGATTATTTTCATGAGTTATTATTGAAAAGTAACCAGCCTAATATATTTGAAAGTAATTAGGACTTTAGAGTTAATACTGATGAGGAAAATCTGTATTTAAATTCTGAAATTTCTTCTGGTGAAGTCATCGAAAGTATAAATAAATTGAAATGTGGAAAAAACACAGGGAAGTTTAAAGGGGATCGGAGCGAATTCCCATGAAAAACATCGTATTAAAACGCACCTGTCCTTTAATTTTTTAATTTGGATATTTAGTACTGGGGTTTTCCTAGACATTTGGAGGGATTTTCTTTATTTTTTATATTTTTTATTTTCTTTTATTTTTTTGCCATGTGATTAAAATATTAATAAAAAGGCGGTTGCTGTTATACTAGCCTTATTTTTTTGTAGTGAAAAAAACTCGATGTCGCGCCAGGCTATGCTATTTCCAAATTAAAAGTCTCGCCGCTATACTATTACTGTATATATATATAATCCCATTAATATGCCCTGATCTTTTATTAAATAAAATGTGTATATTATTAAGAAATTAAAAAACGAAAAAGAAAGTACAATCTGGGGAAAACTATAATCGTATGAAAAAGATATCGTTTCTATTAATAAATATATTGCGAAGTAAACATTTATTAACTTACATATGAATTTTCTCAAGTACTACCATAAATATACACGTAACTATAAAGAGCGGATAACCTCTCTAAGGTCTTAAGGGTAAAAAATATGCCCACAAAAAAGGTTTATTTTTTGGGGTTTTTTTTTGGGTGTTTTTGTAATTTTGAGGGGTTTTGAGTAGAGGGCCAAACAACGTTTCCGCACCTGTGTAGAAATAAAAAAAATTTCGTTTTATTTTTAAATAAGTGGGGTTTAATTTTTCTATATGTACGTAGAGCGGAAATGGAACCCCCAACGGGATATATAAAAAAGATAATACAAAATTTACACAAAACATTGCTAAAACGTTAAATTTTTCTAGCAGTTTTTAAAAGGGAAAACAAAAACGAATTTTAAAAAAATGAAAGTAGAAAAAAATAATAAATTACAATACAACAAGCAGGGAAAGGTTTATCTCAAAATAATGATTATTTAAATCCGCCCTAAATTTATAATAAAATCATTTCATTTTTGAAAAATTAATAACGAAAAAGAAAGTACAATCCCCGGGGAAAAATCCCCATATCATTTATTTAGAAGATATCGTATCTAATGATTAAGATATTGTTATGTAAACATTTTATTTCGCACGTGCGTACTTACTACAAGCAATATGTGAGTATTAAGAGCGAATAACCTTTTGTCTAATGGTAAAATATACACCCTTGCAGTCATAATGTCGTTTTGATATGGGTTTTTTTTTCTGTTTTTTTTTCGTAGGGGGTATGTTTGTTTGTATGGTGTTGTTTTGTGAAAGAAAAATGTTAAAAAGTTGTTAAAAAGCTTGACTGAGTCGTGACCATTTGTGTGTGTTGGCTAGTCATTGATATTTGGTTGAGTTGAAATTATATTCAACTCACAAATAAAAGTAAATGGTGATACAAGAGAAAAATGAAAAAAAAAGGATGTTTCAAAGTTAAGTTATTGGCAAGACAGGGTCGTGGCTTAAAAACTTAAAGTTACAAAGAATTTTGCGAAGGTTATTTGGCCCAACTTTTTGTATATAAAACCCAAGTCGCTAGGCGAGGGTTATATTGTAAACAACCGTTTATACATGTATACGTTCACATAGCCTGTCAATAATCTTGATTAAAAATTCATTACACTGAACATTAAATTTTAGAGGTAAACACGAAATAGCATCATAATTTCACAACAGCCGTATATAGTATATAGCTTATATAAACGTCATGGTGCGCAAGTAAGACATCTAGACCCTATGACTTCTCGACCCCTTAGGATCTTAAGACGACATCTAAACCCATTGACCTTTAGACCCCTTGCAAGATGACTTTTCGACCCCTACTGACTAAGACACCCCTGTTTTAAATGTTGGACTTTAAAAGAACCGTAAATATATTTTGAAAATATTGTAAGACATATATATATAATATCTAAGTTTTTTGTTTAAATTTATATGGTTTTTTTTCTGAAATATCAGTTGCAAAATTTACATTTTTTTAAATTTAATTTTGGTGATTAATACATAAATCACAGTTTTCATTTGTTTAATTACGGACTAAAATCGGATAAAAGTCCCGTGGTTTAATATAATGGTGCTTATTTATAATTTCATCATTAGCGCATTAAGTAACAATTATTTGTTTTTTTAATAATAACAAAAATTTGTAAACTTCAGTTTATTTTTTTGTAAGACATAATAATGCTTCATTGGCAATGAACGTTTATACTAAATGAAATATTGAATTGTGTGTAATAGTTTACGGAAATGTAATTATTGACTGCGAAATAATTTACAGAAACTGTCCCCCATAGTTATCAAAATAAAAAAACAAACTATCAGTAATTTTAGGTAAATGATATTGTCTGTCAGATATTTACAAAAAATATACATGACTCACTACAAAAGCAATTAAAATTCGTTTTTGCAATGGTGAAAATAAGAAAGAGCTGTATCCAATAAAAAATAATCAAATAATAAAGGATTTATTTTTGATACACATTTAATTACTTTCATACATATTTTGACCACAGAAAAAATGAAAATTACCTTAATAAGTTATCATTGCACAACTCCCGTGTGCTAGCCTGGGTTCCAGTCTGTCGATTTTATGTTATGTTTCTGTTTGGCAAATCGAGAATGTGAATGGATGGACCTATTGGACATGTATGACACTCATGATTATTGATACTATCATAACGACGAACGAATACGGAATTTTTTAGCGCATATGTTATGAAAAAAAAATGTTATAAATAAGCAAAAACTATCAACGCCTGAATCCCAGGCTAATATAATTTCTTTCGTTTGAGCAGACGAATTAGAAAGAAATTATTTTCCCTTCAATCGTGTAAAGTCTCCGATAGGGGTCGCGATTAGCGCACGAAGTTTTCGTGCGTAACGGTAGTCAAGTTATGTGTCAGTTCAGCTTTGGGTTACTGACCATTCTACACGTCGATTATTTTTGCATGATGGAAAATGACAACGTGGCAAACGGCGACATAAATGGCGGCTTGTCTTCGCCGGGCGAAACTTCACGGGTTGAAAACCAACTTCAACGTGTTCTTGACGAATTACAAACTCAGCGGGAAGAAGTTCAATCATTGAAACAAGAACTTCAGGGCAACAGCTTCAACGTGGCTTCAGAAGTCAAGAAGTTGAGATCAGAACAAGAACTCGTCTGGAAATTCCAGGGTAACAAGATTCAATTTATTTTCAATTCAGAGCTCGAAGAATTAGCCAAACAGGCTGTTTGGGCTATTGAACATTGTAAATTCGATTATTCGAAGGAGTTGTTATCAGAACTCACTGAGAAACTAAGAAAGCGCAACAAGTTGATTAGAATCGCCGACGGAAGTCCCGGGGGCTGGGACACGGTCAGATCATACGAGGCAAATCCAATCGCAAGCGACTCGGAAGATGATGCCAAAATCAACAAGGCAGAAAACCGTGCGCTTAAACGAAAAAGGTCGAATTTCAGGGGCGGCAAGGGCGGCAAGTCTTACGATAATAATCCTGGCACATCTGGCAACTATCACGGCAAAACATGGGGAGCACCTGCACCTTCATTTCAATCAGGGCAGCAACATACGTTTCCGAGAATGCAGTCCTTTCGTGGATTCTACGGGGCAGGAAAAGGCGGCGTTTCAGGCGCGAACTACGGTACAGCATCAGGGCCATGCTACGCATGTGGAAACCTCGGCCACTTCCGGCGGGACTGTCCAAATACAGGCGGTAGAACCCAGTGGAAACAGCAAACGACAAGCAAATGAGCTAATGAACATTGACTCTTTGAAAGATGAGTATAGTTTTGATTATCAAAGATTTACCAGTGACTATTTTGAGTATGAGCAAGGCCAAAAGAAAATTATTGTTAGGGGCCGTTTAAGGCAGCATATTGATTTTTGGCGTTCAATTGGTACTAATCAGTATATACTTGATGTGATAGAAAACGGTTATAAGATTCCTTTTTATTCTTTGCCACCTGAGACTTTTTTGAAAAATAACAGGTCTGCTGCAAACGAAATTCAGTTCGTTTCCGAGGCAATTCAAGATTTATTAGATCGGGCTCTTATAGAAAAATGTTCAACTCCACCGTTTATTGTCAACCCATTAACAGTGTCTGAAAATTCTAGTAAGAAACGATTGATTTTAGATTTAAGAGCAGTAAACAAGCATATTTGGAAACAGTCGGTCAAATTTGAGGATTTAAGAATAGCTTTATCTTTCTTAAAGAAAGATTGTCACATGATAAAATTCGACATCACTAGTGCGTACCATTTCATTGAGATATATCCGCCACATACCGAATTTTTGGGTTTTTCATGGGTTGATAAAGATAATAAGATTTCTTATTACAAGTTTCTTGTACTCCCATTTGGTTTGAGCAGCGCTTGTTATATTTTTACTAAGGTTACTAGGCCCCTAGTCAAAAAATGGAGAGGAGAAGGAAAGTCTTTATTGATGTTTCTTGATGATGGTTTTGGGTGTGGCCAAGATTTCAGTAAAACAGAGCAATTAGGCGTTCAAATAAAAGGTGATTTACTTTTATCTGGGTTCATTCCAAACGTGGACAAATCTGTCTGGGTTCCAGTTCAGATCATACAATTTTTAGGTGTTCTGTTAAATTCCACAGAAGGCGTTCTGTATATTCCTGAACAGAAAATACAAAAGGCGTTTTTCACAATACACTGTATTCTGAATGCTCACAAAGTGCACAGGACAGTACCTGTTAGAAAAGTTGCAAGTTTGATAGGGCAGCTAATTTTCATGTCTATCGTCATAGGTCAAATAGGTCAAATCATGACCCGTTCGCTTAGCATAGATATCTTGAATGCTAGGTCATGGGATTGTTTTATCCATCTTTCAGATGACAGCTTAGATCAGTTACATTTCTGGAAAGAAAATTTAGAACACTTAAATCGCAAGCACTTATTTGATACTGTCAGATGCTCAAAAGTTGTTTACTCAGATGCAAGTAATTCTGGGTTCGCAGGTTACGAGGTTAGTACGTTTAACGGAGTTGCCCATGGTTTATGGTCAATTGATGAGAGTAGCAAATCTTCCACGTGGAAAGAACTGACCGCAGTTGTTCGGGTTATTTGTTCATTAACTCATATTTTTTCTAATCAAAGTATCAAGTGGTTCAGTGATAATCAAGGGGTTACATCAATAGTCAGGAAAGGGTCCATGAATAAGGAGTTACAAAGCATAGCAATACAAATTTTTAAGATCTGTATGTCAAAGTCCATACAATTGTTCATGGAATGGATTCCCAGATCGTTTAATGAAAGACCCGATTATTTATCAAAAGTTGTCGACTACGACGACTGGGGGATTTCAAATAAACTTCTGTTTTTGATTAAAAATCGTTTTGGCCATTTGTCAGTAGACTGGTTTGCCTCAGAACACAATGCCAAATTGGTCAAGTTCTATTCAAGGTTCTGGAGTCCTTCATCCTCGGGTGTAGATGCTTTTACCGAAAACTGGGGATTTGAATTTGGATTGTTTGTACCCCCAATCTCGCTTATAGGAAAAGTTATTAGAAAAATGAGCGCTGATCAAGCAGTAGGTGTACTTGTAGTTCCATGTTGGCCATCGGCGATTTTCTGGCCCGATTTGTGTCCAAATGGAAATTTTATTTCAAATGTATCAGACTGGTTTGATTTGCCAACTAATAGGTCGTATTATACGGCATGTAGTAATGGAAAAGGTCTATTTGGTAATGCAGATCTGAAGTTTAGAATGCTCGCTTTAAATCTTAATTTTAGGCACAAGGGAGATCAGCGATGCGCGTCATAGGACTTGTATTAATGATCAATTGTCTCCCTTAGATTGCACATGACAATTTTATGTTGTAAATATCTTGTAACTTTATCTATTTGTTGATTAAATTATAGGTAGCTTTACCTTACAAAGTTATGAAGGCAGCTTTGTCGTGAATAAATTTTAAAGGCAGTATTTGCCGTGAACAAGTTATAATGGCAGCTTTGCCGTGAACAAGTTATAATTACAGTTTTGTCGTGAAGAAGTTATAAAGGCAGCTTTGCCATGAATAAGTTATAATGGCAGCTTTGCCATGAACAAGTTATAAATGCAGTTTTGCCGGGAACAATTTGTAATGGCAGCTTTGCCGTGAACATGTTATAATGGCAGCTTTGCCGTGAACAAGTTATAATGGCAGCTTTGCCGTGAACAAGTTATAATGGCGGCTTTGACGTGAACAAGTTATAATGGCGGCTTTGGCGTAACAATTTATAAATGTTTAAGTGTCTTATTATCTCTCTATTTAATGAAACTATAATAGTAGATTGTAACGAATTTGTACACTCTAGTTTGTTGTTGTTCTCATATACTAATTATTCCGTAAGTTATGTTATTTTAGGAACATATATTATTGTCTCTATATAATGTTCTATACAGACATGATAATTAAATCTTTGTTTTATACATCTATTCTTACAGAACCATAGAGAAGAGATCGAACAGCTACCAGATGTTTTGGCGGACAAGGTGGACCTACTCCCCGACGTTTTACAAAGATCACGAGCAGACAACACGTGCAAAAAGTATGAACATGCATTTTTTCGTTGGAAAAAGTGGGGCGTGTGTAACGGGCTGGGGAGTGGGGACATTTTGCCCGCTAAAACTCTGACTGTAGCAATATATCTTACATCTTTAATTCAGACTGCAAATACTCCGAGTCCAATTATAACAGCATTTTATGCCTTAAAATGGTTTCATGATATTTTTGGTTTGAGGTCTCCGACTGATTCTAAGACCGTGATTAATGTTCTTGAAGCAGCCAAAAGAATCTTGGCAAAACCTACCAATAAAAAGCTACCCATGACAGTAGACATTTTACTAGCTATGTACAACAGGCTGTTTGAGTTTGGCAATTTAAAAAACCAAAGAATTATTTGTGCATCTTTATTAGCGTTCGCAGGTTTTATGCGCAGTTCTGAATTACTGAATATAAAGATATCTGATTTGATATTTGAAGAGACATATTTAGCTATTTTTGTTGAAGGAAGTAAAACTGATAAATATAGAGATGGTTCGTGGATTATGATTGCAAAATCGGGTACTTGTTTATGCCCTGTGCGTAATACTCTTTTGTATATTGAATGGGCAAATTTTCAGAACAATGATCACTTATTTTGTAATATAAGTAGTACTGCTAAAGGTTATACCATTAGGAAGGATCACAAAGTTATGTCTTATACTACATTAAGAGATCAGTTTAAAGCGGCTTTTGCACCGCATGTTAGTAATTTATCACAATATTGTTTGCATTCTTTGAGGTCTGGTGGCGCTTCGGCGGCTGCAAATAACGGTGTAAAAGACAGGATGTTTAAACGCCATGGGCGTTGGGTTAGCGAAAGAGCTAAAGACGGATATGTGAAAGATAATTTAGAAGAAAGGCTTTCTGTGTCTCGTTTATTAGGTTTGTGATATATAATGCCATACTGTGGTTATGTTAATACATATGTGAATTATTGTTTTGTTTCGCCAATATTATAAGCAATCAGTACTGTGCGGCAATTTAACCCGTTCTTTTAATTTTTTCAGTATAGCGACCCAAGTGCTTTCCGCAATTAAATATGAAATTATGAAATGATAATTGTGTTTGTTTGTTTCTTCTTAGTTAAGGAGACGATATAAGGTTTAAGGGAAATATAATTTCTTTCGTTTGAGCAGACGAATTAGAAAGAAATTATTTTCCCTTCAATCGTGTAAAGTCTCCGATAGGGGTCGCGATTAGCGCACGAAGTTTTCGTGCGTAACGGTAGTCAAGTTATGTGTCAGTTCAGCTTTGGGTTACTGACCATTCTACACGTCGATTATTTTTTACGTTCTATAAGTAGATATATTGGCGAAACAAATCTTGTGTCTCAATTTAAATCATTATGTTTATAGTATGTGACAATTCTTGAAGAATTTGAATATTTATCTATAAATGTGTGATGAACGTTTTAATATACCACATAAGTGTTAAAAGTTCGCGAATGGATTCATTCGTGAAGGACAATGTGTTTCATAAATAATGAAATGAAATGAAGGACAGTAGTGCATTTAATAAAAACATTATAATGACAATGAATATATATATGTGTGTGTGTGTGTTTGATATTATGTACAAATGTGTGGTTTGGTCAGTATAGCGACCCAAGTGCTTTCCGCAATTAAATATGAAATTATGAAATGATAATTGTGTTTGTTTGTTTCTTCTTAGTTAAGGAGACGATATAAGGTTTAAGGGAACCCGTGTGCTTGTTTAACGTCATACATGTATGTGTTTAATCAGTGACACGTGATAAGATATACACCGGCGCGTGCCGTTAAATAATCAAGTTATCGGTCATACATGTATGTGTTTATTCAGTGACACGTAATAGGATATACACCGGCGCGTGCCGTTAAATAATCAAATTATCGGTCATTAGAATAATACATGTATTATCAATAAAAACATGACTTTAAAGTTTATTAGTACGTATTTACAAAATTAAATTGGTAAGGCGTAAATACGTACTAATAAATTTTAACCAGCTTAGTTTTTTAATGTTTTTTTGCTAAAAGTCCATTTACTAGACTGATTAACAGTTTGCCGGTTTACCAAAGTAAATGTGTAACGATTCATTTGAAATACTACAATCCTATTGGACAAAAAATAATTTCAAACACTATTTTTTTTAATTTTGTTATAAGATGAAAACTTTGTATTTTGCAGGTATCAGTAGAATCAATTATTACAAGGCACGTAAACGTTTAAGCGTCGTACAGTTCACTTGTATTATTTGCAGTGACGCTCCTTCAGACCAAGCAACGCCTGATCATGACAATGCCGTTGATTATTCAATTTCGGGAGCCGCTTCTTTTCGTTATGATGTCTCGTCGGCGGAAGCAAGACTACATTGCTGTTGTCATATCAATCATTTATTATTCTTAGTATGAATGAAATTTACTTGAATTGAATTTAACTAAATTGCAGTTCATCATATTTCAGTATATCAATATAAATATTTTATAATACAGGTATTGGAGACTGTTCGTACCAACAACGATACAGAGGGTATGCACTATTTTTGTTATCTTGTTAATATGAAAAATTAATAAGTAATATATAAAAAGTAAAATTATATTTTAATTTTATACAGATAATGTCGTCAATCATTCTTAATAAAACCTAATGATTGAATTGTGACGCAAAAATAAAATATAAAGACATTGGAGAATTTATTTTGCACATTTTTATGTAAAACTGTTTTTGTTTCGTTTGCTAATATTGAATATACGTTGTTATTTTTCTAGGATGGCATAGACGTCTTAATAGCCAGGCTGGTCGAGGCGTGATTCCCTTCTATGTTCTTCTCACGTTACTATTGCAAGAGGCAAAGCTAGTGAACATACATCTACAATTGGTCACGTAAGCTGGCGTCGTTCGCTATCGAAGGGAAGTTAACATAAACATGGACGCAAAAGATGGACCTATTGGACATGTATGACACTCATGATGTTGTTTGTAAGGAATTCCTTCTAGAAATAGGGTCGATTTACGGAAACTTTTAGACAAGGAAATGTGTAATTGGAAAAAGATTATAGACGCTGTAGAGCAATAAGACGTACACAAATACAGTTTCAAAAAGTGTATATATTGTAAATATTGTAGTAATTGCATGCATGTATATAAAGAGAATGATAGTGTCTGCGTATTCTATGTATTGTTATTTCAATGTAATGTGTGTACATGTATATTTTTTGTGTTACTCTTTTTGTAAATAATATACATAAATAATTAATAAAAGGCTGAAAATGTTCTAACCTAGTCATTACTTTGTGTTTTATTTTTAAAAACGCACGGTTTTTCCTAATATAACAATACATTAATTAAGGGGTCGAAATGTCAGGTATATTTAAGGGGTCTAAGTGTCTTAGGGGTCTAAGTGTCAAGGGGTCGAGTTGTCAAGGGGTCTAGATGTCATAGACTCCATGGTGCAATGTTACCATTGTGCAATAAAATAGTGCCAGGAATATATGCTTATGTACCGGTTGGTTATATAAATTCATTTCCAATGAATGTTTAATATAATTTATATACGGTAAATTTATGTTGTTTCCATGACATTATGGTCTTTAATGAAAGAGTTTAAATACCGGATGTCTATTTTTTTTAATACAACTAAATAAGTTTCTTAAACAAAATAATACGTATCGGAATGAAAAATATTAAACTGCTATTTTTAGTTAAGCAAATATTTCGTGCATGTGTCATTACTCTTAATAAAATATACACAAACATTTCACTCATACAGGCATAATGGACATATTGTTTTTTATGAATTAAAAAAAGTTTGTACTTTACAGGATACACTTTATAATTCATTACATTGACTTTCATTAGTATATTATATCTATTTAAAAAGAGCACATAGACAAAACAAATAAAAAATTAAATACTGAACTTATGTATCTTACCAAGATCATAACTTTCTAAAATAGACATAAAGTATTTATATTTTGTTGTTACTGTATAAATAAGAATGGTTGATAAAATGGGTACCACTTTTTGTTATTTGTCAAGATAATAGTTTCCTTTATAAGTGTGTAAATGTGTATAATATGAAGTCATTTGTACAGGTAGAACAATCAAAATGCCTTATTTAAATGCGCATTAAGGGAAGCCAATTTTTAGAAAATGGATACTACAATACCTTTCATGGCATTCGTAGTGGTTAGTAAGGGTGTTAAGTATAAAGCTATTGGTATAGCTATATTCAACGTCTAAAAATGAAAACTGAAACTTCAGTTGTGTAACTTGCCAAGGTTATGTCCCATGTACGTTAGATATGCATAGTATGGTGCAATTTTTACAAATAAAACTTAAGATATATGAAACTTTTAACAATAGGAGAACAACACCAGGTTCCATTTTTCTTGTAGGTGAAAAGGGAAATAACTTCAAAATGTGGACCTCCCAGTTAGGTAACTCGACAAATCATGTACTTAAATGTTAACAATGTATACAAGTAAAATAAATATCAAACTTGCAGAAATAGCCTACCCATAACTATTATCAATATGTTGAAAGGGATATAATTTGGCGATAGAAGCCATGTGGCTTGTAAAGATCATTCACTTTGTATTAAGTGTAAATTATGAAGCTTTTGGTATAGGTTGATCTTAAGATACTATCAAATTCCCCGGTTGAGGTAAAACACGTACAGACTGAGGGACTGACGGCTAACAGACGAAGGTTTAAACCAAATAATGAATATTTACAACACTCGCACATATTTTCTAGAGGTAATAGGGTTTGTATGTTATTTTCACTTTTTTTTAATATGCCCACCTCTCACACTTAGTTTAAGGTCTCAGCTTCCTAGCTTGTATTTTCCGATTAGACAAGTGACACTTCTGGACGGATTTTCTACTCATTTATTCACATCTATAAGTTTTTAAGTTTACAAAACAAGACAAAGTATGTATCTGTTTGAAAAAAACAATTGAAAATGCATGTACATTTTTATTAATCACTATCCATTCCCTGACATAAATAAATGTTCAACATCACCCTAACACATATTCAAGTTAAATGTACATGTATAATAACTTATTTAACTTAAATCTATCAACTTATCAAATTGCCTGTTAAAATGAATAACTAAACATGTTTAAAAAATCATCTTACGCTTAACATTATTAAACTTTATCATATTCTTGACACAAACACAAAAATAACAAAAGTTTACAGTCTTGTTTGAAAAATATAGATGATTGAAGATAATTTTTGTATCAGTTATGTAGAAAAAAAATAAATACGTCTTCATCATTTAAAGATAAGTCTTACTAATTTTATCTTAATCTAACTTTAGGACCATAGTTTTTAAATAAAAAGAAACAAACCAAAGAAAAGCATATCTGAATGGAAACCCGTATTTGTCAGATTTGATAAAACAGAAAGATGGTTATAATTTTCACCTTTCAATGGGCAAATTATATTTTCATAAAATATTTGTCTAGATGCAATCCAAAACTGAGAGAAGTTTACTATCCCGATTTGGAAATAATGTAAACCATAAATGGACCAAACAAAATGATTAAACAAGTAATGAATAATGAAAGCCCTAGTAGGCCCTGACACCACGCCCGACATAAGCTAAGTGTCTTCTTTAAAAATGAATACTCTTCAGAAAGGAGGTTCTGCATTCGGTATTAAATACCTTAAATTAATGTTCATTGTACAATTTACATGCTTATAAATATCAATCACAGGGGTATTTCGTCTATGATTAGACACAAATTCACTTCTCGTATTCCTTACATATCTGTTGAGAAGCACGATTCCTTTTCAAAATTTCATCCATAAATAGTTTTGCTTTATCTGAAATTATTGCAGGCACCTTTTCATTTAGCGAAAGAAACTTTAACTTTCTTTCAATTTTTGAGGCTATGAAAGGCATACGTCCAGCTTGAAAATAATCAAACTCTTCACAGAGTATGCGATGTGTTACCATCCAATGTAGACGATCGACAACCGGACTAAAAGTATTGCTCACTAAATCGAGTTCTTGAATAACGATTATCTCCCCGTTAGTTAATTCGTCAACAGTACTGCCAATATTGCACCTGTTGTCAATTTGTTTTGTAATGTTTTCCACAATTACTGTATGTAATCTATTTGCTTTAGGTTTAATGAAACAGGGAACATTGCAATGTTTTATCAAAAAGTTTAAATATCGGAAATGCCGAATTACGTAATTCGGATCAGAGTTCAGTTTTTTCTGATCCTTTTCAATTTCGCACGAGGTAACTTTCCAGTGCAGTGCGACTGCAGTCATTCCGTAAACTATGTGGTTAGACAATGGGCGAATAAATTGAAGAACTTGATATTCACAGCGAGACAGTTTAGACAGACTGGTGTTCTTACAATATTTCTTATCTATGCCGTTTAGTATAAGATCAAGCCATTGTTTTGCCACGAGTCTAGTTGCATCTGGTACTCCCTCTTCTGTGGCGAGGAAATGCAAGCTTCGAGACATTTGATGAAGATTTCCGGCTTTGAAAGCTTCATACTCTTTACAAAGGGAACTGTGAGTAACTTTCCAGTGTAAGGATACGACAACAGGATCGTGTGATACATCAATAACCTTGATGGATAGAAGAGCTTTTTTCTCTGCTTTTGTAAGTTCGTCTTCATTGCTTTCTAAATTATACCTCTGGGATATTGTGACCAGAATGTCGTCGTCCATTCAGACGGTTTGTACGTTAAATTTTATAAACTTCGTTTTCTGTAAACAAAAACAAACATTTGAATACAATGACAAAAACATCTCTGTTATGAACATGCTGATGTACATGTGTTAATGTAAATAAATTTATATGACTTAATGACTGATAATATTTGAGTATTTTTTTTCTTAAGTAACCACAATCTTTTCTCCTTACTTATACCTACGTATACACTTTGTATATCCGTAATGCAGGAATGTGAAAATATCATAGGAATTGTGCAATGGTAACAGCGCATCTGAGCAATATATTCCAAAAACCGACCAAGACGGTAAAATAGCAGACCAATATAGTAAATCAAATTGAACGAAATAAATAAAATAAAATAAATAAGCGCATGCGTCTGTTACATATATTTTATGCCTCATTCAAAATATTTCAATGAATATATATTTGTTTTTAAGATAACTCGCGAAAGCCACCTTAGCTACCTTACGGAAAAAGATTTGATTAAAACAGTAACGCATATCTTATATTACATTATCGTTATTGTATGTATTTGTTTGTTATTTGGATTTTGTGTGTTCTTTTATTATTTTTTATTTACTGAAGGCCTCTAAAATTTATTCGGTTTCCTGTAAAATTTACAGAGAAGAACTAAATCTAAGAAGAACTTCCATTGGCCATTTAAGATTACAAACTGAAGTCTGGGAATCTCATTGGCCATCCTAGAATAAAATGTTAAGGATGGTTCTTGCCATTATAAAGTAAAATTTAAGGATAGTTCTATATTCAAAATTCAAAATGATAGTTCTTGCCATTATAAAATAATTTGTAAAGGATACACATGTAGTTCTTTACCTTTCAAGTTAGATTTTTAACCATATTCCTCCCACAAAACATTTAACACTGAACATTCTAATTTACATAACAACTTACTGAGTTTATTTTACACAAGAACTTACTAAATTATAAATTTGTTCCAAATTAACGAGACCACAAATAACGTTCACGATCCTGTAAGTTTACTCTTGTACATATGAGAATATTGAAAAACTATGGTGGCTGATTTTCGCCATGTCGTATTTTCGCTTTGCTAAAATGCGAAAACACGAAGTTCGTGTTTTTGCTTTTAAGCATTTTGGAGGCAAAAAAGCGAAAAGATGAGCAGAAGAAGAACGAAAATACGACACTTAAAAAATATGTCGTGTATTTGCATTTCATCTGTTATATTTCCGCTTTTTCGCGTTCAAAATATAAAAATGCGAAAACACAAGGAGACGAAAAAGTATAACTCTGTCGTCGGTAATCGCTATTGACCCACCATTAGCGGTAGGTACATTACGGGGACACCAGTGAGGAGAGGTTTCGGTAGAAACCGTAAGGTTACGGTTATAACCGTAACTCCGCCCTCTACATCCAACATGGCTACTGTAATAGCAAAAAGCGACAATGAAGCTGAAAAAATGATTTTACAACTTGAAACTTAAAACAGTGTCCGATTTGTGGCAAGGAAAAATAAGAAGAAGGGTGTAAGCTGGGCTACGGTAAATACTTTTGCTGCTTAGTTTATTTACAGCTTTTTATATATGTTAGTGTATTTCGAAACACACGTTCAACAGGACGTTTCGTCCCAAAACTAAATCGGCCCAAAGACATTTCAGCCTTTTTCTATGTTAAGTAGAGAGAAAAACAGGTACAATATTTCAATACAGAATAACCAGAGAAGAAAAATTCTACTTTTGTAAGTAAGAGTTAGATGATATTAACTTTTTCCAGCCTAAATCTTGCAGTAAAAATATCTTTTTCCGTTAACAAATGCGATTTCTCACCACAATTTTCCAGAAAAATGCCCTTTTTGTTGACATCGAACAACGATTTTAAAGCTTACCATATAATATACGACCAAATCCACTTAATTCTTTGAAGATCTATTATCTTAGTACCAAATAAAAAAGAAATACCCGTTTTGAACACATCGGTTAAGAAAATATTGACAATAGAACTGGCACTGGTGTAGTTTACTCATTGTACGGTTGCTTGCTAAATCTGAAAAACAATTCGTCCGGTTGCTTGCGAGGTCACTGTACTGTTGCTTGCGAGCATATTGGCATTATATATCGTCTAGATAGTTTGAAAATTAACTTCTCAGCAATGTTTTAACACTAAAAATGTATTACTTTATTAAATTATGACATATTCAAGTTTCAACGGTGTAAGTCTGCTTTGAACATTAATTTTCTTTACCCTATGTTAAAATAGTTGCAGAGATGGTTATAGAAACAAAAGCGACACCTTTTTAAAACTTCCAGTTTCTATACAGTTCTAATTCTACAACTACTACCTTTCAGATCATGGATGACTCATTTGTTTTAAACGGGCTTGACGAAATCTTTCAAGAAAGTGAAGTTGAAACGACGGCCATGCCAGAGTATAAATTTTGAATATGCGATTATTGCACCGACAAGAAAGGTAATTTAACGCGACACATATATGTACATGATACGAATTGTAAAAAGAAAGATGACAGAAAGCGGTTTACGTGTGAAATATGTGAGTATAACACTGGGAAGAAATACAATCTAGAAAGACATATAAAGCTTCATGTTGATACAGACGAAAGTGCAAGTAAAACTACATTGATGTGCGATGTATGCGGAATGCAGTTCTTGTCTTAATTTGGAATGGCCTTGCACACAAAAAATGAGCATTTAAAACAATTCAAATATAAATGCCAGATTTGCAAGAAAGGATTTAACCAGTTGCTTCCATATAAGGGACACGTATCATCGCGTGTTAAACACACCAAACAGAAATGTGAGAAATGTAACCTGACTTTTCAACATAAAAGCAGTTTAGACCGCCATAAAAAGATTATACATGATGACGTCAAATATGATTGCGCCGAATGTGAGCAACACTTCACTAACAAAAGTCACCTCAAAGATCACAAGAAAGTCGTTCACTGTGGCCTAAAGCTTCAATGTGATAAGTGTGTCAAGTTTTATAAATGGAGGCCAGGCCTTAATCATCATAAGAAAACTGCACACAATTGAAGAATTATTTTGATTTTCAAAGAGCATATAAAACATATAGCATCTCTTTACCGGCGTATATGTAACTGATCTTAATAAATGTGTTATTTGTTATTATCATCACAATTATTTTAGACATTTGAATTTTACAAAACAAGAAGTTGTGATTTAGGCATCTGAACTCACTTAATAAATATTTGGTCATCAATCATGAAGATTAATAATTACTTATCTTAAATAGAAGTTGCATTTTGATATTATATATACATGTAGGACTCGGGTACACAATATAAATATACATTTGCGACAATTTAAGAATACGACAATGTGAATTTGAAAAGATAAAACATACCAATCAATGTTACACTTAAATATAGCTTTGTATATTGTCTGTTTAAACTTACTTTTATAAAAGTCCATCTCTTCAACGTGTATACATGTACAGTTATTACTATATTTTTTATTTTATTTTATTATTGCTGAGCAGGTACACTCGACATTATTTTAATACTGTGATCATATCTGATTTTCTGTGATTCATTTATTTATTTATTTTTACCATTTTCTAATGTCTTTAATAATTCTAAATAATAATAAACTATTTTGATAATATTACCATGATTTTTTATTTTCAACAAGACTCATTTTGTAGTAATATGTAAAACTTAGGTTGTAAAATGACACACTGGTTTATCTTTGTCGTAATGTCCATTATCAAAATTTTACATTACGTTTGAAATGTCAATATGCCTTCAGATATGAACAGCTTTCAAGAAAGAAAAACGGTCTACGGTCTAAGACATCTGGTTGAATTGCACATGATTAGTATTAACCTACAAAAAAGAGAAGGGGCCTCGTCCTTATTCTTGGGGAAATATGTGTGATTTTGGCATACTTTGGGAAAAGGGGTCTCAAATTTAACACAAACTTTTAACAAGTTCTTCAAAACAGAAAAGCAAAAAGCAATGGGAAATACTTATAAGGCAGTAAAAGACCTTAAGTCAACACCATCATTTAATTTTGTTCTAAATTCTAAGGGAAATTTCAAAAGACTGGGGAATTTTGAGGACAAAACTGGGGGAAAAAGAGGCTAGTTTGGTTGGGGAAGCAGCCTATATGCGGCCTCTACAAAGAAGGGTTTTTTGGCCCTGACAATAACATTAAATATACGTTGAACATCATGGCATGTAAATATGTTAACTGCAATTAAATTCAATCACTTAAAGTATATAATTATTAGAGTCGCAATTTACCATCACAAAGTTTGACATACATTAGTTATTAAACCAACATATAATTTTTTTATGGTTTAAATGCATGGTGAATGCCATTATTGCTCCGCGCCCACAGGCGCGGAGCTATTTGTGTTTACTTTTTTTTTGTCCATTGGCCCGGATTTTATCAGGAGGTAGGTAGGTAGGTAACTTTAATCTGCAATTTGAACATGAGGTGTATTGTTGTTTTTTTATGAATGGTTTTAAAGCAATTCAGCAAAAAAGTATATTGATCTCCCAATAAATCAATTAACAATAACTTTTTTATGTAGCTTTTATAAATTTGACTCGCACGAACATGATGTTAGTGAATTTCCACATACCTGCCTGAAATTCAGGTAACAGTCTTCTATCAGTATTGCAAGAAACCATTTTTTTTTAATTTGACATGGAAAAAAATGCATGTAATAAAACTATATTATAATATTAGCCCCTTTGTTACTATTTGTATATTTGTTACAATTATAATAATAATAACGCAGTTTTGATATTTTTATCATCTTATGTTACTGACTACAGTGGTGACACAAACAGAACACAGTACAGTCCTGTCACATAACATTTACAAGTCTTGTAAGTCTTGTTTGTATTCAATGGAATTACTTTTCTTACCAGGTAGGCATCAGTGAAAGCATTTTTTTCAAATTAAATATCTGGCCCCTCTTTTTAATTATGGACAGTGCATAAGGTAAGTATAATTATGCAAAATAAGTTTACAAAACATTCGGAAAAGATCAACAATATAACATAATCTGAATATAACATGACCTTTGCGTATGAATAATTTGGTAAGCTATCTGTAATTATTGCATTTTTTGCGCGGAGCTTCTCAATTGCTGCATTGCAGCAACATTTGTACTTGTAACCTTTGAAATGGGCCAACTGTTCAAGAATTGTGTTTTTAATTGTAACAAAACTTGTAGCTTGCTCCCAGGCAACCGTACAGTTTTTATTCAACTCCTCATAAGCAACCGTACACAGGGGTAGCAAGTAACCGTACAGTGAGGGAACATCAACAGTTGCTAATTTATTGTCAATATCTTCGCAATCAAGACGTTTACAAATAACATAATTTTTTGGTGCTTAGAACATAATTCTCGATAGCATCAAAAAGATTTGTTCAAATATTAGGTTTAAAGCTTTGAAATCTTCGTTTGATGCAAACAATTTTGATTTTTTTTCGGGAAATCTGTGTGAGAAACCGCATTTTGTCTGAAAATATATGTTAAAATATCAGCATATTGATTATGAATAATTTAGTTTATGTCAGTACCACACATATAAGTAAAAAAATCCGATGATTTATCTATTTTGACAAGTTTTACAAGTTTTTCAGCCTTGTCCTGCGTTTTACGATGTATATTTCGCTCGCAAGCGGAAGTCACTGTGGACGATGGAGTGTACGCTGAGCATTCATCTTTTCGCATTTTGGAGGCAAAGAAGCGACAACACATAGCGTAAATCAGCCACCATATAAACACACCAAAATATCCGAACTTAACAGGTACCCTTAGTTTATTATGCTCAATAAGTGTCAAATATATTATAATATGATCCTTGATGTGTTTAATGCATAGATCCCTGACCTGTCAAATTCTAATTATTAGATTAGTGGATACAATAAGAATTTCACCGCAACCTATTTATTAACAAAAGAGCACATGTCAATGTTTGAGGTTAAATCTATTGTTATTCATATAAAAGATCAGAGCGGGAGTGTATCAATTGATGTAATGTTTACATATTTTTGCATATTAATAAAGTATTCAAAAATCAAATTGCCTACCGACTGCGTACATGTTGGTGTTAGAATATAGTTCTCTTTCCGAAACGCGATAGTTTCATTTAGAAACACATATATCTTACAGCAGTGTTCCATTTTTCTTAATAATCATTGTTAAATCTTACCATTGATTATTCTGTCAATTATAACAAAAGTATTTTTATATAAGAAAGAATACTTACGATTCTCCTCTGTACGAGTTACAAATCCGTGGCTTTTTATTATATCAAAGCCAAAACAAAAAAACGTTCTTTTTTATAAACTTCCTATTCAAATTTCGTTTTGTTTAAACCTTGTTTAAAAAAAACAATATATACTTATATAGATAAAATTTTAATGGGCGTCGATATAAATACGACTGAAAATAAAATGGTCGAAACACCCCAATATGACATTTACAAAAAAGACGAGGTTGGTCAATATAGAAAGATATAATGATAGCTATAATCAAGGTATTTGATAATTATCACAATTTTCGGGGGAAAAGAAACCAAAGAAAGAGTTATAATTTAGAACTTATAATTACCTTCAATGTGGTAGTGATAAAAAACCATTATTATAACAATTGTTAAAATTACTTAGATAATAGTTATCGGACATTTGACAGTTTAGATATATAATGTACACATATCTCTGTTTGAGCGCATCATTTATTTACATTTATTTTTATGGTGAAATGTAATCTTTTTTAAGACCAAATAAACAAATCATGTAAGCATACCAGATATATTTTGATATTGAACAAAAATGGTATTAAACATTATCCTATAACATTCATATTGTGTAGAGGTATTTCACTTTTCACTCTCGTTAAGTAATAAATCACTCGGTCAACAGGTTATGTAATATTAAAAAAAGAGAAATCTTCCTAAAATATTTTTTCCTCCAGTTCATCCTTAATTAGACACATTTTGTCATAAAGAATTATATATGTAAAAAATTAATTAAGGGTCTTTATCCTTTCAGTGGCCAACCATTTCTCAAGCATTTTCATAATGACCCCCGCCTCCAAATATGTGGTCTGTCAACAAAACGGAAATGTGATTGAATAAAAGCACGAAATTGAAGGGAAGTTACGTCATGCTCATTGTGCTATGGTAAAACATGCACGACAAAAATAGTGATCCTGTTTATGTGTCTCGTGCTCTCTTCCATATTACTTTTCGAAAGAAAAACATTTTGACAGGAAAATTCACCTAACACAAACATGCTCAGAAAAATGTTCTTTTGATGGGGTTTTTTTTGTTCTTTGTTGTTGTTGTGTTGTTGTTTTTTTTGCACCAGAACTCCAAAAAATAAATCCGGAATCGACGGAACCCAAATCGTGCCACCTCCGTGATTACGTTTTAATATCACGCTATGGCCATTGAAAGGGATATAAGGCGCATATACATTATGAATCTTAATAAACCACCATTAGGTGAAACGTCTATCGAATACAAGGTACGTCATGTAATACTTATAAGACCCAAAAACTGGTTCTGAGAGCCCTGTTTGTGCTTTGTAAAAAGAACAAGATTGCATTTGAGAAAAATGCTATGCCACCGCATTATTACAACATTAGATAGTAGTCTAGGTCAGCTGATATCAAATTTCACTTAACATCTTAATCTGTGCACATGGTTCAAATTTCATAGCTGTACATCAAAGGACAAGAAAGAAGGTCACTTCATCAAAATCTAGGTCACCTGATATCAAAGTTCAATTTTACAACTAAAACTTTGCACATGGTCAAAATTTCATTGCTGTACATAAAAGGACATGAAAGTAGGTCACTGTCCCCTTGGGCAAGGCAAAATTTTGACCCAAGGATTTAATTCAAAACAATTTTGATACAGATTCACCAAACAACATTTCAAGTCAAATACCTAAGATGTAGCTTTCTCCCATTCAGAAAACATTTGTTTTAGTTTCTGTTTTTACTATGTGTACATAATGAGAATCATTGTCCCCGGGGAGGGCCAATTTTGACACCAGGGGAAAAATTTGAACAAATTTGGTAGAGGACCTATAGATGATATTATATAGCAAACATCAAAGCTCTATGCCTTGTTCCTTCAAACAAAAAGATTTTTTAATTTTTTATTATACAGTAAAGACTGTCTTAGCGACCCCCTGTTTATAGCGACGTTCTGTCTTAAGCGACCATAGTTTGGTGCGCCGAACAGTATTTACTATATAAATGGTCTGTATGTAGCGACTCCCTGTCTAGTCCGTACAACGACCATGATTTAGTCACCCGTTACGGTATTTGAGCCGTGAACAGCGACTTTTGCAAGGGGAGCAAGGCTTGAACTAGGTGACGACTTTGGCGAAGAAGTCGCCTTCAGATCAGCGACTTTTCCTAAAACAAACTTCAAAGTCGCCCGATTTTTATAATTTTCCGTCATACTTATTTACGCCGCTAGGTCTGTTAATAATTTGTTTACCTCTCAATTACAACTAATTACCGTTAATCCGCTAATGAAGAACGCGTGTCAACATCAACACAGTTCAATACACGCCGCAAGGCAAGAGTTCACTATGTTTACCTTTCTCATTACGTATTCATGTGATTGACGAATCAGAACGCGCGTTGTATTTACGGCAGTTTGCATTGACCAATCAGCGACATGCTAATACACTGTGGCTGTTTGTTGACAATTACACAAAATGGCGACAGATTCAATCAATTTTCGCCGATAGAATGATTAAAGACACCTGCATATACATAATTGCTGCGGTGTTTTGGCGAGTGAAGATAAACAATGCCAAACGTCTTAAAAGTGTGGTTATGTTTGAAACCTCGATTGTTAATTTTTTCGGAGCATTTATCTGTAGAAATTATGTGAAGATTTGTATCTAATGTTTTATTAATACATTGAGCTCCGTAACGTAAACAGTCTGATTATACAAAATTAAATGTCTCTACAGTAACATCTCATTAGTAAAATTGAAATTAAACATTTTTTTACAAAAAAATTTATCAATATAAATTACATTTTAATGAATATGTAACTTTTAAATACTAATGTTATGGTGTAGTTTATAATCTTAACCAGTTATACATGCAATTTTAACACTCTCTTGTTTTTTATAAATGATATTTTATATGTTTAATATCAATAAAAATATAATTAAACCCTTAGTATGGTACTATCCTGCTTTTCAACAAAATATTGGTATTATATGTTCGTATATCCGAATAATGTAGAGACTGTCCACAGTGACTCCCTGTCTATAATGACCTTTTTTCTTTTCTCCCATCGAAGGTCACTGTAAACAGTCTTTACTGTATGTACATAATGGAAATCAATGAGCCCCTGGGCGGAACCAATTTTGACCCCAGGGCTATAATTTGAACAATCTTGGTAGAGGTTTACTTCGCAAAGTCTCATGCCATATATTTAACCTCTAGCCTTTGTCAATTCAGAGAAGAAGATTTTTCAAGATTTAACTTTATACATATAAGGAAAACAATCGCCTCTGGGTCAGGGCAATTTAACACTAGGGGCATAATTAAAACAACTTTAGTAGAGGACCCATAGATGATATTATATACCAAATATCAAAGTTCTAAGCCTTGTACCTTCAGACAATAACATGTTTTAATTTAAACTATATGTACATAGTGAAAATCAATGACCCCTGGGGATGGGGCCAATTTTGACCCCAGTGCTATAATTTGTACAATCTTGCTAGAAGTTCACTACACAGTGTTTCATGCAAAATATCTTACATCTAGCCTTTGTAAATTAAGAGAAGATGATTTTTTAAGTTTTTAATATATACATATAAGGAAAACCTATGGCCCCCGGGGCGGGGCTAATTTTGACAATAGAGGCAAAATTTGAACAACTTTTGTAGAGTACCTATAGATGATATCATTTAACAAATATTAAAGCTCTAAGCCTTGTACCTTCAGACAATAAGATTTTTTCATTTTTACTATATGCATATATATATTGAAAATTAATGACCCCCGGGGCGGGGGCAATTTTGACCCCAGGGCTATAATTTGAACAATCTTGCTAGAGGTTCACTACACAATGTTTCATGCAAAATATCTAAACTCTAGCAGTTGTCAATTGCTAGAAGAATTTTTTTTAAAGATTTTACTATAAGTTTTTCCTATATACATATAAGGAAAACCAATGCCCCGGGGCGGGGCCGATTTTGGCCCCAGGGCTATAATTTGAACAATCAGGGTAGAGGTCTACCAGACAATGCCTTATGCAAAATATCTAAGCTCTAGGTCTTTTGGGTCTTTACAAGAAGGTATTTTAAGTTTTTACTATATGTACATATAGTGAAAATCAATGACCCCCGTGGCGGGGCCGATTTTGACCCCAGGGCTTTAATTTGAACAATCTTGGTAAGGGTCTACCAGACAATGCCTTCTGCAAAATATCTAAGCTCTAGGCCTTTTGGGTCTTTACAAGAAGGTATTTTTAGTTTTTTATTATATGTACATATAGTGAAAATCAATGACCACCAGGGCGGGGCCGATTTTGACCCCAGGGCTATAATTTGAACAATCTTGGTAGAGGCCTTTTGGGTCTTTACAAAAAAAAATCTTTTAAATGTATTCTTATAATTCCTTTTGGTTGCCATGGCAACCAGATTTCTCCATGGGATGAACTTCTTCGAACAACTTTGGAAGCCCTTCACCCAAGTAACAATCCTGCCAAGTTTGGTTGAAATTGGACTAGTGGTTTTTCACAAAAAGATTTTTAAAGTTCACTATATAATCTTTAGAACACACACACAAACACACACACGCACACACGCACAACACACACACAGGTGAATCGCTATATGCCACCGCATCGCAGATGATGCGGTGGCATAAAATACTCCGTCGCAATAGGAAGGGTACTAAGTCATACAAAATTTGCCCTTGATAAAGTCATTTTCGAAAAAAAGAAATGAGATAAAAATGTAATAAATAGAAACTCATATCACCCATGACGTACGATTTATATTACGATCCGTGGTATACATCAGTATGCTATGCAGATTTAACATAATTATATACATGTAGATAACATCATTGTTTGGGTGCTTTATATTTAAAACATGTTCGTGAAGTCATCTTTTGTTGTATCTTTACAATTATGTATTCATGAAAAAACTGAAACTATCCATTATTTGCTTAAAACTTTTAAGTTAAAAGTATCCAATATTTGTCAAAATAATGGACAGCTATTTTATTTGTACTTGCAGATAAATGAATAATGTCTATAATGTCTCATTACTAAGATATTATTAACATTTGCTACAAAAAGTGTTTACTACTTATACTTAAAGTATAGATACTAAGTTGAACCCTTAAATTTGAAGATTTAAAAAATCTATGTTTGATATTTTTTATTTATTTTATGCTTTTCAGTGGATTACTGATATTTCCGTGATAATTATATTTGATAATTTCACATTGAAAATTATCAAAATATAATTCACACTTTACAATTATGGGACTATTTTTTTAAGATTATCCCCATGTGGTACCTAAATTTTATTACTGTTTACAATTCTGACATTGTCATGGCTGTTTAGAGAAAAGCAAAGCTGAAATTAATAAATAACTTAAATTTTAAAAGTAATGAAATGAAGAAAACTTGCTTCAATTCATTCAAATTACCAATCACCAAATATCGTCTCTTTTTTTCATTTTTACAGTCTGAAAAAATGCAATTCATTCCGCATGCAAAACTGCTCATGATGTGCATATTAAAGTATTCTACGAGCAATAATTGTCTACTTGAAAAGCAATGACAGTCATAAGCACGAAGAATAAGTAAAGAACCCAGCGTACGTAATTCCATGTTTTCCAATTTCCAAGCCACTCTTTGAATGTGTACACACCAGTCAACAATTATTATTGTCTGTAACAATCCTCAAATAAGTTTTCTTTCTTCTAAAAAGATGTATGACTAACAAATCCTAATGGCATCCCTCTGAATCAGACACAATTATTTTCTTCCCGTGAAATACACAACTTTTAAAAAAAGGCGGCCACTTACATCAAACGGACTCGGCACACATTTTAAATGGTCGTTTGTACAATGAAGTTGCATGTAATTTTACTTGTTTAACTTACAATGGAGCAAGTGTTATTTACTATCATATTGTCTAGTCTGATATTTTTAACGTTGAAGAGCGTCACGAATCAGATCATTTACCAATTTGTGCAAAAATGACTTTAGAGCGAGGGCAACCATTTGTTAAATATTATAAGAAAAATGAAACCTTTAATGAAGTGCATGTCGACAATTATAGATGAAATGATAGGTATATGGCGAATTTCTTACAATTATTTACCGCGGAGTATAATTCTATACGAGAGAATGTACTTAATGAAATAGATCTAAATATAAACAATACAAGTCATCATATCATTAATATTTATAACAAATCATCAGCAAATATGCGCGTAAGATATTTAGCGCGAAATAGTGTAAATAATAATTAACCCTTGTGGGATCGAGAATGTGAAACAACTAAGCAGCTTAAATACGCAGCTCTACGACGATTTTGCTGGACTAATAACATATAAGACTTTCAACAATGTGTAGCGCTCCGAAAACGTTTTGAAAAACGTGCTATAAAAAGTATCTTTACCAAAAGTCTAAGCGCGATCAACTAATTACGTTACGATCAAACCCCAAAGCCTTTTGGAAACTGTTAAAATCTAGAAATGGTAATATAAATTAACAATCTTCATTGATAGATACGGTACCTTGGTTTGATTATTTTCATGAGTTATTATTGAAAAGTAACCAGCCTAATATATTTGAAAGTAATTAGGACTTTAGAGTTAATACTGATGAGGAAAATCTGTATTTAAATTCTGAAATTTCTTCTGGTGAAGTCATCGAAAGTATAAATAAATTGAAATGTGGAAAATCACAGGGAAGTGATGGCATCGGAGCAGAATTCTATGAAAATACTTCGTCATTAATCGCACCTGTCCTTTGTAAATTGTTTAATAGGATATTTAGTAATGGGGTTTTCCTAGATATTTGGAGGGATTGTTTAATAGTACCCGTGTACAAGTCTGGGCCTCAAGATGACCCTTCTAATTATAGAGGAATTTCCTTAATCAATGTTATGTATAAGATATTTTCTAATATTATATATGATAGGTTATATATTTTGGCTGAGAAATTTGATAAAATAGATGAATCCCAAGCCGGATTTCGAGCTGGTTACTTTACAATTGATAATATTTTTATATTACAAAGTACGGTACAGAAATATATCAGCAAATCCGGTGGACGATTTTATATTCATTATGTAGATTTTAAAAAAGCATTTGATGGACTTAAACATTTTAATTTATTCAATAACAGATGTGGCGTTAGGGGGAATTTGTTTCGTGTTCTGTTCATGTCATTTGTTTCGTGCTCATATACTCAAAACTGCGTGGATGTGTACAAGTTAGTACTGCCAAAACTACAGAATATTTTAAATGTAACATAGGTACAAGACAAGGGGACGTAACAAGTACGATTATGTTTAACCTGTATATAAATGAGATATCTCCCTTTCTGCGTAATAAGGGGACATCGCGGTATATTCATTACGGATAAAATTCCCGATATATTATGCATTCTTTTCGCTGATGATGTTGTAAATTGCGCCGATACTGCAAACGAACTTCAGTCTCAATTAAATTCAATTTCAGAATTTTGTAATAATACCGGTATGTCTATAAATGAGAATAAAACTGAAATTATTGTATTTAGAAATGGAGGACCGCTCAGATCATATGAAAATTTGTTCTTCAACGGCAGTTCAGTAAATGTTACCTCAATGAACAAATATATGGGTTTTTTATTTACACCTAAATTATCTTGGACAAAGGCGAAAACTAAACTTGCTGCACAAGCTAGGAAATATATTTATGCTATTTAATCATATCAAAAGAAAGGAAAGTTCTTACATTCTGATTATTTTAAATAATTTGACTCTATGGTAAAACCTATACTTACCTATGGCCGAAATTTTTCGAAGTGAAATCTCCGAAATTCTTGAACAAGTTCAAATACAATATTGTAAAGATTTTCTAGGTGTATATTATTCTGTTAATGATAATGTTGCACTGGGAGAATGTGGAAGGATTCCTTCATGTATTGATCGTCATGTAAAAATTATCAAATATTGGTGTAAACTTCTTTGTATGCCAGAACACAGATATCCTAGAAATTGTTATTTGATGTTAACTAGACAAGATAATGTTGGAAAGAAAAATTGGGCAACTTCAGTAAAAAACTTATTGTATACTTATGGGTTTGGCTTTGTGTGGCTAAGTCAAGAAATTGGGGATATCAATCTAGTTATTTGTTGTTTCATTTTAAACAAAGGACTATTGATTGTAAAACACAAAATTGGATGGAAGAAATTCAGAATTCACCCCGATGTGACACCTATAAATTTTTCAAATCTATAATCCTGAAAAGTATTTATCTATTGATATGCCATTTTATGTAAAAAGATCATTATCGAGATTTAGACGTTCTAGTCATAAATTATATATATAAAGTGGACGACATTTGGGTATACCAAGATATGAGCGAATTTGTCATCACTGTTTGCAAAATTATAACAATTCGTTCATCGAAGATGAATTTCATGTATTTTTTATTTGTAACAGATTTTCCCAACAAAGACAACGTTATATATCTCCATGGTACAGTCATGATTATACATTCCATAATTTTTGTAATTTGATTAAAACTCAAAATGAAGAAAAAATAAAGAATATTGCTTTTTTTGTTCATGAAATTATGAAAATTGTTGATAATTAATATAAATAGGAAAGCATGTCATATATAACAACGTATATTGTAGACACAGCTAAATATGCATATCTGTTTTGATTATATTATGTATTTTGGGCCGGAGGCCTTTATGTACAAAATAAAATGTTGTTGTTGTTATAGCTTTTTACAAATCTAAACTATAATAATTTGTAACTTAAGATCAATCATAAAAGGACACCGTTCAGTATGTGCCTATAAAAACCTAGTGTTTTTCATATTCGATCACTCAAGTAACTAGTTAGAGGCACTTACTTCATCAAAATCTGACATACAAGCAAGACTGAAATGTTTTATTTTTCACTCCCGAAGTACAAATGAATGTGAATAACATGTATTTACATGTATTACATATTTGCACATTGAAAACGTATATAATAAGCGTTAAGTCATACATGAGTTATCTGATAATGAAGTGTACATGTATAATGATAAACGGGTAAACTGTGGTTATCTTAACTACCTATATCATTCATTGGTTATTTGACTTGAGATAATAAAATGGCATAATGCCATAATAAATCTATTTTTAAAATAGATAAACTATGGTATGATGTAATCATGCCTTTCCCGTCAAACTTCGGATAAGGTGTTGATTGGTCATCGGCGTGGTGTTCCGAATGATTGTTTTCTAATCAGCGAGGTGTTATTTACTTGGATATGCTTTTTTAAACATCTGAATTGTGAAAGAAAGAAATTAACTGAACATGTTTTGTGTATGTGTAGAAAGATATTAGATACCCATTCATGCACTTAACAACTTTAAAAACACACTTGTCAAACTGTAATAATTTAAGACTGAATATTAAGATTAAATTTGCAGTACATGATAACAACGCAAAAAAAGACATCATCTAGAGAGATTTCATTTTGGTAGATAAACATTTTCGTATTTCGTGACACTTACACCTACATTTACTAGGTGAAAAACAATATGTTCGCAAAAGAATGACATTAAAGCTGAAAAGCAAACTTTGCACGGAGTGTTAGAATAATTTAGAATTTGGATAGTTGTTAAATTGTTTTCAGTTCGTATCTTTTTCGTATCTTTCGTTTATCTAATTTATATACATGTTTTTACGGTGTTAGCGATTTTTGATGATAAACATTTTCATGCCAGACTGTTGTATGTACAATGCGTAGCTTAAAAGCGATTCACTTTAATCCATTGTGTACGACTGCTTAAGAACATAACATTCTAATTATAAAGACTTTTATTGAGTCAGGATTAGTTACACTTTTAATCAAGAGATAATTTTGAGATAACAATTTAAAAAGAAAATTGTGTCATGATTTGTCTAAGTATACCAAACATTTTGAACGACAATACATACTTTAAAGAATATTGATACTCCCAGAACCATAACAGTAATGATGAATCGTAACAAAACTATTACAAATTATATAGCGTATATAACTACTACTTTATGTAATTTTCATTTTGAGTTAAGTTGTGTAATTATCCATACAACTTTTGTATGTGAACATTTTTTTCACATCAATATCTTATTGAATTCTCTGGCCTTGTCCTTAGTTTTGTCTGGCACCCGCTCGTTTGTCATGAGGAATTTCAGCTTCTTAGGCATGATTTTCAGTGAATATCCAGGTAAGTTTCCAGCCTTGAAATCATCAAATTCTTTGCATAGGAAAATGTGAGCCACTTTCCAATGAAGGCACTCGACAACTGGAGGGTAATTATTACGTATAACATCAAGTCTATCAAGAACTATTTTCTCGGTTTCAGTTAAATCATGCACATCGCTTTGTATATCATATTTCTTGGACAACCTTTCAATCACATAGTTTTCGTTAAGTTTACGTAGCTTCAGAGCTTTGTTTCTTATGAATTCTGGTGAATTGTCATCCGTTTGAAGGCGTATTATCCAGCGTATATTCTCTATTTCAAAATCGTGATCTGTTGCTAGCTTATCCAAATGTGTGTCAAGTTTATTTTCGATAACTTTCCAATGTAAAGCCATAACAGTATCGGGATATTTGACACCATCAAGAAGGGGTCGGAGAGTAAGAAGCACGTTGAATTCACCGTCGGAGAGATGTATTAGTGGTGTGTCTGCACAATATTTTCTATTTATTTCTTTTGTCACGACTTGTATCAAATTTGATTTCACTCTCTCAGCATGTTCTTTCATCGGTTTTGTTCCTAGAAAACTGATCTCATTCAGATTAAAAATCATAGCAGGTGTCGGTCGGAACATTAATGGAAACTTGATTTCCTCTTCAAGAGTAACCAAGAACTTTGCATACGATTCTAGCTTCAATTTACGGATAACCTCCGGAAAGTCAAAAGAAATAATTTCATTGAGACCTTTGATATCAAGCGCTTTTCTCTGCAAAAAATTAAAAGAAAGTAATTGAAATACTGCAAATTTAGACTGTTTATTACTCTGTCAGAGCATTAATAACGCTGGATAAACAATATACAATACAATACAATACAACATTCTTTTATTTCGTCAAGGTTACATTTGTAACAACAGACATTACAATAATCAAGTAAATAAATACATGCGTGGGTATCAAATAGAAAACAATTACATGTTTCACGTCAAGTATGATAGATAATCAAGCGAAAATTAGTACATGTAATACAACAAGAAACATTTTTTTTTAACATTAAAACTTAATATAAATTTAAGTATGGGGACAGCGATATTTAACTGTCTAATTTCTATAGGAGATAAAGTGGAGCACGTGGAAAGCGTGTAAAACTTATTTACGTCATTCATTAGTGTTACTATGGAATGTCATTGACGGAGTAAAATACTATTTCAAAAAGTAAAACTAACGTGTAAATGTGTTCATGATGTGCGCTATAAATATACTAAGATTTTTTAGGATATCGCTGTTACTACTTTTAAGGAGTTCTTGGTATTTAATGATATTTGGATATCTGTGAAAATAATTTGGAATAAGCTGCTTTCTTTTTTCGGTGAAATAATTACAAACCATCAAATAATGGAATTCATCACCTAAGTCATTTTGGCATAGTGGACACTTTCTATTAACATATGGGATATTAGACCAACGGCCAGTTCAACAGGGAATTTATGATTTGCAGTCCTAAACTTGAGAATAGGTAAGTATAAGTGTTTTGGCAATGATGTCAAATAGTCTTCACGCTCAAACTGATATTTAAACAAGTTATAGAGTTTGCCTTTATTTGATAGTTGCATTCTACTAAACCAGTCGGTAATAAATTGATCAATCAGTGTTTAATTAACAAATGAACGTTACATAAGTTCGAAGAATTTTGATTTAGGAATATTTCACTGTGACCGGTTAGATCAAGGGTAGATTTAACATAATCAAGCCATTTGAATGTATAATCACTATTTAACATAAATTTGTAGATAAAATTTGAGTATTTATATTGATGAACTTGCACTAAATTTTTCCAAAATTTAATAATTCGTGTTTTGATAACTATTTCAAGCGGATATCTACCTAATTCGCCATAGAGCATGTACGCAGGAGTACTTTTTCTGCAATTTGTTATTTTACGCAAAAATTCAATATGTACTTTTTCGATGTCTTGAGTATTTTCTATTCCCCATATTTCGCATGAAAATAACAAAATTGGAACAATGGTGTTATCGAATAGTTTGAGTTGTAAATCAAGAGGTAAACAAAGATTATTTATTCGTTTGTACAAAAGGTGCATTGCTTTTCTAGCTTGTGTAATTAAATGATCTCTTGCTTTCTTAAATTTCCCATTAGGACTAAACATAACGCCTAAGTATTTATAACTATCGATTATTTGCAGAGCATTTCCATTAAGCGTAAATGACATATTGCGTACCCCACGTGTATTTGAACCAAAGATAATAACTTTGGTTTTGCTGGTATTTATTTTTAATTCCCATCTTTGACAATAATCGTTAAAATCATTTAAACATTTTTGGAATTCTTGCGGGTTTTTTGAAATAAGAACCGTGTCATCTGCAAAAAGTAACACTAATATACTTAAAAAACTATCAATATTGTCAATTTGGCATTCTAAAGAAATTCCGCCATTACATTTAGATTCCAGAAAATCGAGTAAGTCATTAAGAAAAAGTGAGAACAAAAGAGGGGAAAGATTTTCCCCTTGTCTCACGCCACAGTCGCACGAAAACATGGAGGAAACTTCCCCATTTGATTGAACACATGACTTAATGTTATTGTACATGTGCGAATAATTCTTAGGAATTTGCCATCAATACCATTATCGATCAATTTTTGAAAAAGTTGGGCTCTATTTACATTGTCAAAAGCTCGGGAAAAAATCAACAAAAAGCTACAAAAAGCTTACTTTTTTTCATACGCATTAGTTCTATCAAAAAAATTTAAGGTAAATACATGATCCATAGTAGAGTGATTTTTTCTAAAGCCTACCTGATTTTCATGAATAATGTTATGAGTTTTCTACAAATTTAGTCAACCTATCATTTAATACTGAAGTAAATTATTTTCCGAGACAGCTCAGGATCGTAATTGCCTATAGTTTTCCGGTAAATCAGTATTTCTTTTCCTTTAAAAAATTGGTATAATATAGCCTTCAGACCAACTATTAGGAATAATTCCGGTATCAAGAATAATGTTAAAAAGTTTCGTAAATATTGGCAACATAATGTTCTCTGTAGATTTAATATATTCGTTAAAGATATTATCCGACTTACTAGCTGCTTTTCCATTTTTGCACTTTTTTATTGAATTAGAAATTTCATTTTCGGTAAAAGGGATATTTAAAATGCTGTCGTTATGACGTAAATCAGTCTCATTGGTTTCGAACAGGTTTGACTGTTCATTGTTCGAATTTACATTTTTGAAATATTCGTAAAAATCATTAATTGATGGCATTTTGCTCTGGTTATTTGTTTTAAGACTATTTAAATATTTCCAGTATGATTTGGGATCGGATTTTTGCATTTTTCTTAGCTTGGCCTGATTGTATATTTATTCAGGTAAAATTTCATTGTGTGTTTATAATCTTTACTTGCACGGTTGAGAAGACACCGATTATTATTAGATTTATTAAACATACTGCTCAATAATTTCTTAAGTCTAACTTGAAAAAGCAATGCACCATCATGTTATAAATCAGTTGTAAAATTGTTATAAAATGCAGGACAAGAATCATTTAACACATTTTAACACAACTTGAAAATTCTTTGCTCAATTTTCTAGTTATATAAATGTTATAATGTGTGTTTAAATTTTGGACAAAAATGTAGTTACCTCTTCATCATTAAGGTCATCTAAGACAGTCCATTCATTAGCCCTTCTTGCTATGGCAGATAAAAGAGATATGTTTCTTCGTACAGATCGTCGTGATTCGTTTTGAGAAGCTTCCATCTCTAAATCTTAAGAACTTTGTTTCTGAAAAGTAAACAGTACATATATTTTTTATGTTTAAGAGCATTTTATTGATAGGTATATAAAAATAGGAAGATCATGTTAAATATTAACAACCAATAAAAAAATGGACTAGAAAGTAGTACAAAATTTTTGTTCTGTCTCTTCAGTAATTAATTTTCAAATTTAAAAAAATATGCCGACAAAATGTTCATCGTTTTAGTGATGCTTTTGATGTTTTTGTATTAGAGGGGGTTGTGAGTAAAGTGACCAATCAACGTCCCAAGCATCTGTGTTAGAATATAAGAATATTCGTTTCATTTCAATACCCAAATTAGTGGGATATTCAATAGAAACTTAAGAGCGCCCAGGGACCCCCTAACGTTTATAAAATAAAAAAGATAAAAAACAAATTTTACACAGATAAAGCAAACCTTTTTTTTGGGGTTCCAGTTTTTAAAAGGGGAAAAACAAAAGGGGAAAAAAAAATATAGTAGAAAAAGAAATCCCTTAAAAATTTAACAACAACAGGGTATATCTAAAAAGAAAATGATTTTTAAAAATTTCCGCCCAAATTTTTAAATAATAAAATCAATTAAATTTTTAAAAATAAATAACGAAAAAAAAGAAACCAATCCCCGGGGAAAAAAAATCCCAATATCTTTTATTTTAGATTTTAAATGATATAGTGAATTAAAACATGTTTTTTTCCGAAACGTGCGTCCCTTACTCAAAAGCAATTTTCGAGTTTTTAAAAACAAAACAGAACAGAACAAGAACAGAACAGATACTTTATTAAGGTTTGTACATAGTACATCATCTATAATACAATATTTTTACAAGCATAACGTCAATATAATGGTAATTGCCAATCATGACATTTTCAAAATTCTTTATCTTAATTTATCTAGTAAACAAGGAAAATTAAATGATAAATATGTATACTACGAACTTAAAAAGCAAAGACATACGAAAAGGAGAAATGAAGCTATCAGATGTTTAACGCTCAACATTTAACAGTGTGTTTCTCAAAGCAAGTGCTTCTTTAACAAATTTTGATAACTGAATTTAATTCATATTTATTATTTGAATTCATTAATTGTAAAAAAATTTATTAAACTGACGGGTTTCTGGTAATATTTAATTTTCAAAAATTTTTTTCTCTAACTCTGAATAACAACGACATTATACAAACAAAATGAAATTCATCTTCAATGTCTGAGGTATTTACAGCATAAACAATATCTTTCTTCTCTAACAATTCTATTGTCTAAGAATATCTGCCATTTGTATCCTCAAAAGACAAAGTACCCATTCTTAATCTACCAGAAATAAAACTTAAACATCTTGGCAAGAAAATCCAAATAAAGTTTCATACCAAAAACTACATTTAACATTTTTGTACATATACAATACAAACTATTATCTAAAAGTAGCATAACCATTCCTTGTTTAAAAAGAATCAAAATAACACCGACTTCTAAAATTCAAGAAAAAAATATTTTTTTTTTCAAATAAATATTAAAAAATTATCAAATTTAACCATATGAAAATCCATAAATCATTCAAAAGCTTCTTTAAACATTCGAAAAACCCCAAATTTTTATGAACCATTTTCTATCAATCTAAGAAGCTTGATTATATACTTGCCCTTAAGGGATTTTTTTTATCAAGTTTTCACAATTTTTAAAACCCATATATTTAAATTACCTTACAAAACCATGAAATTTTAAAGCGGATATCTTCCAGTTCTCGCCAATAACACTACATTACCAAAGTGTTTAGGGTTGAACTCTTAAAACCTTTTACAAAATTTTTAAATTATTCTTTCAGCTTCTTTAAAGACTTAGTATATCCCCCCAGATTTCTAAACAGAAAAATTTAATATCGATGAAACAAATGAGTCAAATAAACTATAAAAATGTTCTGGGAGAAAAGTAAAATTTTTTTCAATTTACAAAAAAACATTCATTGCCTTTAAAAGCGTTTACCACCTCAAATTATTCCGAATTTTTAATGTAAAAATTGCCCCGTATAATTAAAAAACTGTCCCAAATAATTAAAATCTTAAACTAACTTCAATATTTTTGGCCATTAGATATTCCAACTGCTCGTTTGGTAAAATACGACCCTCTTTTTCAAAATACCATTATTTTAGTTTTTGTTGTATTTACTTTAAGGCCACAGTTGTTTTACAATATAAATACAAAAGATCTAAAAGTTCCTGTATTTCCTCAGGGCTTTTGCCTATAATTGCCATAATCATCTGCGAAAAAGAAAAAGAATTAAAAAACAATAATCATCTAATATTTAACCTGATCCGGGATTTTTGAAGATACAAAATTCAATGTCTTTCTACAAAAAAAAATTGAAAAAAGTAGACTGGTGACATTAAACCTCCCCTTTACGCGAGGCCAAACAGCACATATTGGAAAATATTTCACCAGAATTTAAGTTTGAACTAAAAGTTTGAACACAAGACTTAATTTTCTGGGTTACATATTCAACGAACAATTTTAATTAAATTTACCCGTATTTCCAAAATTAATACATTTTAACCATAAAAACCATTTCTATCAAAGAACAACACTTCATCCATATCAACCAAATATAACATTAATCTTTTAAATTTTCATTCAAATTTTTCAACTAATGACATAATACAAATATGCATCTACAGTAACCTTTCCTTTACGGAAAATTCCGATAATTGAGCATCCGAAATAGTGTTTATGTTTCGTTTACAAAATTTCTCAATTCGATTTATTAATAACATATAAACAATTTTTGACAATAAACTAACAAGAGTAAATTCCCTCTGTAATTAAATTTAAACGTCATCGTGAACAACCTTTTTGTGTAAAAGGGGAATTATAAAACCCTCTGTCCATTGTTAATCGGGGAAAATAACCCGAATCTAAAATAAACCATTAAATAAATCACCCAGAATATGAGCCTGTAAAATAATCTATACTTTCAATTAAAAAATACTCGTTTAATAACAGTTCGTTACCATACGCTTTTTACCCCTTTAGTGATTTACAGCAGTTGATTTACTTTTGCAGCGAGTAACGCATCTCAGGCTCCGGTGGTGAGGTTAAAATCTTTTCACCCAAACTGTAATTGGCTGGTCTAATTCTGGGGAAAAATAATCATTTTTGACTTCATAAAAAATATTATTAAATTACCAAAAACTGAATTTAGCCTCCTCATTGAAACAAAGCAAATAAAGTCGTTACTTTATATTAGAAAAAACTCTTTAAATTGTTCTATTTCCGTAATATTTTTTAAAATTGTTCATTTCTTTTTTAAAATATTTCCAAAAATCTCTAGGTTTACCTTTTCTTTAAATTTCTATCTCAGACATTTCTTTCCTGTTTTTTTTTAAATTAAAAAGGCCCCTTTTCTTTTTTTTTCTAAAAAAAAACCAATTGTTTTTATTTAAAAAAAATGGGGACCTTATTTTCACAACAACCCTTTTCTAAAAATAAGCTGTCTTTAGATATTAAACATCCTTAAAGATTCTAAAACTTATTACCTTCTTCCCAAAATTCTATATCAAACCCCTCAACAAAAATGTTTTTAAAACAAAATTTCTTTTTCAAAACAAAGAACATTTTTAAAAACTGACAGTTTTGAAAAAAAATTTGGGCACTAACATTTCTTAATTTCATCTGTTTAAAAATATTTTAAGTTTCAAATTTTTGACCAAAATTGTCCCCACTGTTTTTTCAAATCATTAAAAAATAAATTTTTAAAAAAAGGTAAATTTGCAATTGGGCTCCTGATCTAAAATGTTGTTTTAAAAATCATTCCATTTGTATTTAAATTTCTTAAATATAATATCTTATCGGGTTTTTTGTTGCTAATTTTTTCAATTGAAAGGGGGGGCATGATCGCTCCTTTTTAGAGCGAAAAACCCTTTTATCTAAGGGTTTAAAATATACCCCCTTTGCAGTATAATATCTTTTTTGGGTGTGTTTTTTCTGGTTTTTTGGAAGGAAATTTTTTCAAAAAAAAATTCCTTTTCTATAGTATCGGTCTGCCTATGTTAAAAAAGAACGAACAACACCTAATTTTGCATTTCTGTTTAAAGCTCAATAGAAAATAAGGTAGTTTAATGCGACCAAGAAATGTAGTTCTAGGCAGAACTATAGTATACTTTCACGAACGTGGATGACTTGAAGAAAAAAGCTATGTTCAAAAAAAAAACTTGAAATGATGATATTCAATGTTAGCTTACATCAATGAACCCATAATCTAAACGCTTACGGCAAAAAAAAAACATCAGTAATTATTACGCCATGTAGCAAAGAAAAGTTTGTGTCCTCAATGTACTATGTACAATAAATTAATATAAAAAGTGTAATTTTGAGCAGAGATGCGCGAAAAATTCACATGTAAGTTCAACCAAGGAAATGAAAGTTTTTATTTTTTAAAATTAAGAAAATTTTTTGATACATTTTTGCCACCGCTGTTTTTTTTTACGCAATAACTCAAGGGGAAACAAGGGATACAATATTGGCCTTAAAAAAGCGTACTATTTTCGAAAAAAAAGGGTTCGCAAACTTTAAAATCAAATTTGAAACAAAAATATTATCAATAAATAATAAAAAAAAAGATTACAATCAAGTTTTTTAAAAAATATTCGGGAATTTAAGGGATGCAATTTGGAAAATTTGGGTTTTGACTAGGGGGCACACCCGCCATTTTCGGACCATCGACAGAATAACTTTTGTTTTTCAGATTTCTCCATCCAAGACATAGTTTTGCTGATGAATAACACCGCAAATTTGGGGAAATGTTTTTATTTCTTTGTTCAAAATCGTTTTTTTTGCAATTTAATTTGTTAGAAAAACTTTAGGTCAAGGTTTTGTTTACATTATTAAAATTTTCGGGTAAATTGGGCCCTATACAACTCGGGACAGGTAAACCCCTTCCCTATTAAAACCCAAAATTTTTGGATATAGATTTTTTAATTGTTTAGTTAATAACATATT